ACACACGTGTCCTGTTGAACTTGAAAAAAGACGAAATTATTTTTAAAAAGGTATATTGTTGCTAAATAATAGATTTTTTTTTAATTGAAATATTTGACAGATCATGGTAACTCGTGAAGCAACATCTCAGAATTGAATCGGCGAGTTGTGTATTTGCTGGCAATCCGAGCCTGCTTCGATCATTTTGGAAGATACATACGCCTGCGCTTTTCAAAGCGGACAGACGTGCCCGTGTCCAACTTGACAAACGCGGAATTATTTTAGGAAAGGTATATTATTTGTAAAAAAATATATACAATTTTTAAGTAACATATTTGACAGACCGTGGCAACTAGTAAAGCAGAATCCGAGAATTCAATCGGCGGCTGTATGTTGACTGACAAGAATATAATTGCTGTTAATCCGGCCCTGCTTCTTGTACAAATGCATAGTGGGGAGACATGAACATTTTTCGAAATTGCGGCCCTATCCTCTTGGGATTCTACGTTGGACAAATTCTGAAAACGACCCAGAAATATAATTGGTGAGAAAATAGTTTTTTTGTTGTGTTAACAGTTAACAATTTTTTATTTTGGAAATAAGGGGTTTCAGTGTGTACTGGTATTAGTGAATCAATTTAATGACCTCAGCATCTCTAAACCCCCATCTTGAGACGCGTTAACGATCCGGATCGAGTTACGTCGCGTAATTGTGTCACTTTTTTAATTAAAAAATGAAAGAGATGTACCTACCATACTTTAGAAACCCCTACTCCCCTTTGGAGGTGATGAAATAAGTTTTGGCATAAAATATAAGTTCCTCGTATTACTTTGATATGATAAGTATAAGTCTGCCTGTTTTTTTTTTAAAGGAGGTTCAAACCCGTGCGAGGTGAGGTTTGATATATGAAACAGACGAGTCATGGGGACACGAGATATGCAAAGTTTCAGCGTAGTCGTCGCCACATTGCTGCCAACACTGCATATATAAGGAATCACGAACCATTCAGGTAAAATTTTGAAAACACATATTTATGGCAATATAGAACCTCTCTTTTTTTTTTAACAGGAATATTGAGACTTAGACCAGTATCATTTTAAGTAGGCATGTGGGGTAAAGAAGACGCAGAAGCTTCAGTCGGGTACCATCGGTAACGTAGGCGATTAATATATTTCCACCACTACATATGTTGGATTGGAATTTCCCATTTGATGCTTTGACTGACTAAATGAGGAAACTTGGAGGTAAGCTCTTACGGAATTCTATCGAAATATGTTTAGTAACATATTGGTGCATTACTCTGTCTTCCAGTCAGTTTCACATAAACTTTGCACGTATTATAGAAATGCCACCTACTTTTGTTGTGTTAATATTATTGAAAGTAGTAGCTGGTAGCTGTAGTCGTAAGCCCAGAGAGTCTCTGTTTTGAACATAATACACAAAATGGGGCGTTCAAAAACAATAGACTGCATGCCTTTTAGAGTCGGCGTAAACTATGGTCATATACCCCTGATCAAATTCAGAACTAGAAAATCGTTGTGTCTCTGCATTAAAAATAATAGTAAAATTTATTGTAGGCACCAAGTAGAGTATCGAAAATTTCCATTTTTCGTGCCAAATTGGTTACTCCAGTAAATTCCAACTGTTCTAATTTTTTTAAAATAATTTATGATGTTAGTGAGTTTCATTGCAATTATTTGTTACTTAAACTTTCTGCGTATTAAACCTTAATTAAAAATACGCTATTCGTTAACGCAGGTAGAATTAATAACGCTGACTAACCTGATTTTGTCCAGGGGGGCGTAGTACGGTAGCTTGTACTGTGATGTTTGGTAGTTTGGCGGTGAGCTCTCATTTACAAAACTGGGGAATGTTTCGTTATCTTCAAATCGTAAACACGTATCATTAGAATTATATTTTTAAAATATTGATTAGGACATGTACTAAGTAACTAAATGCTCTAGCAAAAATATTCACACATATTGCGTAAAACGTACAAATTTAAATTAGAGAAAATTAACTATTTTTAGAGGTTGGTTTTTCAAAAAGGCGGGGATTTAGTTAAAGAACAGATAGAGACTAAAGGGAAGCTCTATGAGAAAAGTTAGAATTAAAAAATCGATGTTTTCGTGTCATAGCGAAAGATGGATTATTATTAAAAATAATACTTGCATTAATTGTTGTCACCATTTGTGAAAAATATGGAAAATATCCTCTAGGTTCGCATACCTTTTTTTATTTTTTTTAAGGTGGCTAACAAAATACACAGACAGAAAAGTTTAGATCCTGTTCGTTAATGTAGCGCATAGAAAAAAATTAGAAAGAGAACGTTTCGTGTATGGCATTCGTAGTTAGTACGGAATATTAATCTAAAGGCTGCAAGACAGTGAAAGAGTGATGCGCTTAAGTGTGGTTCAGAGAGGTTATTTGGGCTGTAGAAGTTTTTCTTTGAACAGGGTTCAAATAGCGTCTCCTAGAGCGTTAGCAGAGAAGAGTATTACAGTATTTAGTATAAGCGTCCAGATTTCATTGTTGTTGAAATTGCCATAGAAACACACTTTCATGTAGTAGTAGCAGCAGCTTTAAAGTATATGACTTTTTAGTTAAAATGCCTTTCGAGTTTGCTTTATGGCTTGATAGGAAATTAAAGGGTAGATACAGATAAGTTACGAAAAAAAAAGTATGTACACTATCCTCAAAGATCAGCAATAAATAAAAGAAATTGATGAAATAGTAAAGTTGACTGCGATATCTTAAAATCATCAATAAGATAGATAAATTAATTTTGAAAATATTAAATAATTAAAACAAATAATAAAATAGCAAAGAAAATCAAAATTATCAATAAGATAGATAAATTAATTTTGTAAATATTAAATAATAAAAATAAAATTATAATAGCAAAGAAAGCCTACCACGGCCACATACACATAATATTTTCGACATATGAACTTTTCCCAGATAAATAGTCAAATATCTCACGATACCTTAAAACAGAAGCATGCGGAAATATGTATGAAGTTAACGCACGGTAGATGGCTTAGTAAATTAATAATGTATATGGTTTCTAATATCCTACTTTATTAATGAAAATTTTAACCAGGTTTTTGTTTTGCAGATATTATTGGTGGTGCCTGCCAGCTTCCAGTCCCGAGAAAAGAAATCCAATACTTTTCGTCTTTATTTCCCCTGTCCTTTGTGCGCAATAAAAGTACAGTTTGTACCCGCGAGGGTACACATTCGCAGAATTATATGTTTTTAAAATAAATGTTTTGGTCAATATTCACTAGGTGGGGTTACCTTATTAAAGAAAATCTTATTCCAAGAGGGGACACTAGTTTACATTCGAACCGCTAGAGGGTGCAGATGGTCACGCGAACAATATGATCAAGTCTCATTGACGCCATTGCTTTTCATACGGGTGGGAAAATATCTGGGCTCTGATTGGCTTCGCCGCCATCGCAAACTAGAGGTGGGGAGATTGATTAAACCGCATTTCTGGTTGCTTATCCAATGGGGGCCAGTTTCAAGGGATTATGGGTAAAGGCGGAGGAGCTAGAGAGTCGTGGGTAAGGAGGACACGCCCACAAAAAAGAGAGGAGTGGGGGAAGCCTATATTATACATATCTCTACTCTTATTGCATAATATACTATTATAGTATATATAACGATTAATGAATTTAACATTACTAAAATTTTGTCGGTATTTGTAACACTCAAGCGTCGCTCTCATTGTCGTGTCCTTTAATTTAACTGATTTTATCAATGTTAATAGTAACAAGTGTGGTAAACTGCATTTGAGTCACGAGTTTATTTGGCACGAGCGGAGCGAGTGTTTAATAAACGAGTGACTTAAAAAGTTTACCCAACGTGATGCATACTTTACTTTTTCTACGACCTTTAGTTTTTGGGTACATTTTCGCAAAACAACACGAATACATTCACTGACATGACCGTCAGAATTGACAAACGTCAAAATTCAACCCGTGCGCTAATATCTCGGAAATGTCCGAACTGGCTCGGATCCGTGGGAAACGAAACTGAACATCTGGGTCAAATTAGGGTGGTGCTGTATACTCCTTCTGTAAGGTATCATAAAACATAAAATCCATGCGAGATAAATCAAGACTTAATATCCCCCTATTTAGAGGTTACTTTAGAAGTTTACAGTATGTGAGGTTGCGCTATCCTTTTGGAATCACGCGTTCTCAATGAAACCAGCAAAATTATCGAGATCTATTCTCAGAGAATTAGTCTCAGTAACTGTAAGTAGAGCACCGTAATTTTTTTGGAAAAAATAAGGTCCGATAAGTCCAGAAGTGCTTATTGCAGCCCATATTTATTTGTATTTGATGTGTCTCCTGGGGATTTACGGAGGACCAGTAATGCTTGCTTACCTACCCGTCTAAATGAAAGAGCGCCTCGTTGCAAGCGTTAGATACTGTATTCTCAATCCTGTACCAATTGAATTTTAAGTCCTTTATGCGTTTTCTTTCAAAACACATGGGGAAAACTTTCCGGGACACCTTGTATTTATAACTTTGGATAATTTCATAAATCGCGATTATACGAATTTTTAAGGCTTTTATTTAGTTAAAGTTTTTCTTAAATACATTTTTACTCCTATCAAGAAAAACGTGATAGAGGCATCAGTTATAGGAATTTTAAATTTAGATGGATTAGTAGGCATTAGTGCACAGATTTTTGATCGCGTTGTATTTTTTAAAAGAAATGGATGTTATGTTACAGCATTTTTGAATTTTATGCTCAAAATATGTGTGTTTTTTAATAACGTATAGCATGCATATATGTAGACTTTGTAGGAATACCACCAGCTGCCATTATTTTATTCAATCTCAATATCAATTTCTTCCATGAATGACAACCTGGCATTTTTGGGTTGCGACTCAAAAACTGAAGGCACCTGAAAAAGATTCAAAATGCTTACATATATAGGAAACAACAAAAAAGCGATTTAGGCGATATATTTTGTCCCGGGCGCTGATAATCAATCTTCTTAGGTCGGCTGATCTGAATAACAGATACGGACTTTCCTTCAGGGATTTTTTGTACTTTTTGGCAGCAATCGATCCCAACACATCGCACGGAGGCGCCGCAGCCGAGCTACGATGCAGGTACATGTTTAAGTGAGTGTCATTTCTTAATTTAATGACTGGCGTAGGTATAGTGTTTTTAGGATAAATATAAAGTGACGTGATCGATAGTAATTTTTATTTGGATTCTTATTATAAATGTTAGCCCCTTTAGCTTTTTTATTTTAAAAAAACGTACAGAATATTTTAAAAATAAAACGAACGGAAGTTCTAGACACAGAGGAACATTTTAAAGGATATTTTAAAAATACAATTTCCCCAGAAGAAATAAAAAACAACTCATAAAAAACCTGAAATCAATAAATCAAAAATAAAGAAATCTTTAAAATACATGAAGGGCGATACAGCTCCAAGAAAAAATGCTGAAAAATTGTGGAAACTTAGTCATTAATACCCTCCATACACTTTTTAAGCAAATGTTACAAGAGAAAAGAATACCAAACGATTGGGATGACAATATTCCAATCCTGTCTATATAAAAAGGAGATTAAGCAGACATTAAAACTACAGATCTAAAACGTGTAATATATAAATTGATCACAAAAATTTGACCCAATAGACTAACAATAAAATTTGATGGATACCGATCTAAAGAACAGGCAGGTTCCAGAAAAGGGTTTAGTACAGGCGACCACTTACTAGTAAAGCAAATACTTACAGGGAGTCGCAAAATCGCCGAAACTTTTTAATATAATACTGGAAGATATATTCAAAAATCTAAATCGGGGCAGAAAAAGAAACAATATTGGCTGACAGAAACTGAGACACTTAAGATGTGTTCACGACCTAGTACTAATAGTAAACAACAACTAGTTGATTGAAGTGATCGAAAAACTAGATATGCAAGCAGTAGGACTCAAAATGAATTACAATAAAACCAAAACCATGGCAAATACACAAGAGAACCCTACAATCAGAATAGGGCAATATAGAACAAGTTAAAAGTTACATATATCTAGGACAACAGATGAAGATGCATAAAGAGAATCACACAGCAGAAATAAAAAAGAGATGCCTGGGTAGAATTTGGAAAGCTCCTAAAGAACAAAAAATATCCATAATACCTGAAGAACAGAGTTTTAAATCAATATTTACATTCCAGTACTTACATATGAGGCATTTACAGAAGATAACGTAAAGAAAATAAAGAAGACAAAACGTTAAGTATAAAAGAACAAGAAATATCTACGCTAAGCTAAGCTGAGCTAAGGTGGAATGAGGTGATCATACAAAGGAGACATTGGGGAAATAAAAGAGAAAGAGGAAGACCTCAGATGCGGTGGATAGATGATTTTGGAAAGCTCCTAAAGAACAAAAAATATCCATAATACCTGAAGAACAGAGTTTTAAATCAATATTTACATTCCAGTACTTACATATGAGGCATTTACAGAAGATAACGTAAAGAAAATAAAGAAGACAAAACGTTAAGTATAAAAGAACAAGAAATATCTACGCTAAGCTAAGCTGAGCTAAGGTGGAATGAGGTGATCATACAAAGGAGACATTGGGGAAATAAAAGAGAAAGAGGAAGACCTCAGATGCGGTGGATAGATGATTTTCCGAAAATTCCGTGTCCGGGATGGATGGATCGAGAAGCATGGAGGCAATTAGGGGATACTTTGTTTCAATATTGGACCGAAGAAGCTGAATAGGTAGATACATATATAACTAGAGATAGAATGTACCATTACAAATTTCATCCATGCTTTGAATAAAAAAGATTTTCAAAAACGAATTGACTTTTGTAAACTGATTTTAATAAAATCCCAAGAAGAAGAATTTTTTTAAGCATAGTGACATGGACAGACGAACCAAAATTTTTCAGGGATGGACTTTGCAATCGGAGAAATAAACATTTCTGGGCCGCCGTTTCCTTGTCTCATAATAGGTAATCGAATAAAATTTGATATATATGACGAAAATCACACTGTCGCAAAGGTACATGGACATCTTAAGAAATGCGGTGGAAGAATTTTTGGATCACATCCAAATTTACAGAGCCCTTTGAGTTTGCAACTGAAACGGCTCTTTACGACAGCTGGCTCAGGCTTGGAGTTCACCCTAGATCACCCAATTTGACGTCTTGTGATTTATATATGATTTTTTGATTTTTATTTATTTGTCTATGTGCGAAACTTTCTTCGAAATGCCAGTGTTCAATGTCGATATCACTTAAAAATCACGAAAATTAATTAAAAATTAAGAGATTGGAATAGGAAAACGAACAAAATTGAGTAAGTTTTATTCCTAAAATTTAAAAATGGGGAAATATATTTAAAAAAAAAACAAAAAACGTCTTTCCTAAAACTTCCGCACAAAGTCTTATTTTTTAAATATCCTTTATGTTCCATATAAAATTGCATGCCAGGAAAGAATATCTGAGCTCTTCCAGGAACTTCCAGGAAATTAATTGACATACAGGGTGTGCAAGTATAATTTAAAGTAAAATTACGTCATATTAAATCTGCATATAGAAATTTTGAATTATACGTTTTTTCTAAAATGTAAAATAAAAAAGTTAGAGGTGTTTAACATTTACAATGAACCACGCATTGCTACGATTATTAAATAAACTTCTAGATTCTATGACAGAGACGTGGACGGCCTGTTAAAATATGACGAGCTTAAAAATCTCTTAACGGATCTAAGACAAAGCAAAAATCAGCCTTTGGACTTGCAAAGTATCGCCAAGGACATGCAAGATACCTACAAATCGATGGGAATCGTGGATAACCGAACTATTAACGTCAACGATTTTCTAAGGGCCGTTTGCGATTTGAAAATTAGGGGCACTTCGCAGATTTTCAGGTCCCCGATCGGCGTCATAAAATATTTGCGGGAAATCTCGTCTGTATTTGTATTGTATTGTCCGATTTTCGCTATAAAAATATGCGACATTTGCAGCGAGAAGGCTGCAACGACTGTAACGAAAACGGCGGTGGGAAACTACCGTTTCTCGGAAAGTCCTAGTAGAATGATCACAGCGGGATTGAAAAGTGTCGATTACGAAATTGCCGTTCACACCATTAAAATTCGAAGAAGCGGCCACGCTATCAACGTGGACGAAATAAGGGAGGTGAGTAGTCATTTTTCAAAAAATCTTCTGTTGCCTTTCGATTATAGGCTATTTGAGAAAATTGTGGAGTAATAAAATGGGAAATTGCGTCCGGTTCCGTTGAATTTCGTAGGTAAACTTGGTGTATCGACATTATTTTCGATCTCTATTGTGAATATTTATTGTTAAATGCTAAATATATAGGCATCACAGTTTCTCTAAGATCCTATCAGGTCCTCATATTACATTATACATTCGCTGTAATTTCGCAAAAGAACAAAGTATTAAAAGCACAAATTATCCAAGTTTGTGAATAAGGTACGGAGTTATTTTCCAGAAAAATTACGGCAATGTAGCAACTCGGTCAGTTGGGGGTCACGCGTGCCCAAAAGTTCCATACCTTCTCTATGAAAAAATCATAGCCACCGTATTTTTACCGTAGTAGGGCCACTATATTATCTTATAGCTATATGGTTCATACTGTTAGAAGATCAAAAATAAAATGGCAATAGTCACACCACCGATTTCGTTTAAGATACCAAAAAAACTTAGATTTATTGGATTCATTTACGTTGTTAAAACGTTGTTTATACAGGTCGTTTGTGCTTTCTTGGACAATTCACAACTTTCTGATTTAAAAAAAATGCTCTATATTAGATACTTTTTATATTCTTTCTATACCTAAAAGTCACCTTTTCTGACGGCAAAGATTTAGTGGGGAAAGTTTTAAAGGAAACTTAGTGCTTTTGATAACCGGCTGCAGATTAAACTGTTTTCAATATATAAACTATTTTCAATATATAAATAATAAATAAACGTTATGATACAAAAATTGTGACATGTAGAAGATATTTCTGTTAAAGTATCTCCTGTCTTAAATTAAATACTTAATGTTGATTGCATGTATAAATGCCTAATTAAATCTAGTCAAACGGTCTGTTGGTTTGAAACGTTTTAGGCGGCGCACTTGACTAATTGTGTTAAATAGCTCACCCGCGAGCACGTTTGGATGTCTCTCACGGCAGCGTTTAATGTCTTTTTGTTTGATTGGAAGGCAGATCCCCATAGCTGTATGCGGTATGTCCAGGCGGGTTTTATATTTGTTTTATATACTAGGATCTTATTTTGTAGTGACAGTTGCGATTTTCTACCAATTACCCAGTAGAGCCATTGTAGTCTGAGTCCTAGTTGTTTTCTTTGAATATGTGTGTTCTCCATGTTAATCGTTTGTCTAGATTAATGCACAGACACTTTACGCTCTCTACTTGTGTTAACTCACTGTCGTTTAGTATTTACTGGAGCACAGTGGTCTCTTCTCTCTTCTCTCTGGGTTTTATTTTCCATTTCTTTAGCCATAGTTCTATCTTATTTAGATTATTTTGCACTTTCCTGGTTGCTGTTTTTTGGTATCGGTGAGAAGTTAGTCTTGCTGATCCGTGGAGTCCGTGGTTTGATTTGTAATTGGTAAGTCGGAGGTGAGCAACAGGTAGTACACTTCCTTGAGAGATTGGTGTTGTACTGGGAAAAATATGTTGTTTAACTATGATTTATTTTAAACAACAGGCCCTGGTGCCATAGTTTATCGAAGGCTTGAACTGATATCTATAAAGGCTGCGGAACAAAACCTTTTATTTTCTAGGTCATCGCTGCCTTGCTTAACTACTCGATCAATCTGTTCCACATTGCCGTGTTTCTTACGAAAGCCAAACTGATGATGCGGTATAATATCTTTGTTAACAGGTATAGGTTCAATTTGCTTTAATATAATAAGTTTTTTGAATACTTTTGTTAATATTGGATTTTTACTTGGCTTTGGGAGCATTATTATTTCACCTGTGTGAGTCTTATAATATCATTAAATAATTGCTTTTATTCTTTTTTCAGTTATCTTCTGGAGAATCCTTTTTAAGGATTAATTTCTTTTAGAATTGTTTCTTTAATTTCTTGGCAACTGAAATTCCTTATGGGTTTATCCGTTTGAAAGGGGGATTCTAGGTAATTGTTTATTTCATCAATATCCTCTTTGGTGGTTTCTTCATTTAACGGTTTGCACGCAACAGCTTTCTCTTTATTACTTCTCGCCCATTTTATATTTTGATCTTTTATGGGTGCTGTAGGTTGCTGTGGTCTATTTAGCTTCCTTGTTGCCTATCACAGCGAGTAGTTGGTTGCTTCCGTGGAGATTAGGTTCTAGGTATTTCTGAACTGCTTATTTTTTTTGTTTTAACAATAGTTTTTTCGATCACTGCTAGCTTCATTTTTTACTAATTTGGTATTTTCATCATATTTTCCTTTATTCTGTGCGGATGGTGTGGATTCCCAAGCTGCTTTTGGAATAATTTTTGTAAGATTATGTGGCTCCAATCCACAGTAAATCCGAAATAGTTCAATTGATAGCGTGTATGACATGTCTCGATCATCTTTCTTATGGCAGCCATTTTGGATTTTTTGATTTTTGGAAAGAGGGTAAAATTTTCAGTTTTGCGCCTGGAGTTTGATTTTAAAGGCTTCAAGTTCTCAGTTTTCCTTAAGTAATGAATGCAACAAAAAACACGTAAACTTGTGGAATTATAAACGCAGTAAATTACTAATTACTTGTAGAACCTTTCCTTCAGCCTCCTTGATTTTGCTATCAAATAAACAAAGAGTCACCCTCTCGCGTTTTTTTAGAAAAGTTTAATGGTCAAGTTGTCCAAATTCTTTTTGTTGTGAAATATGTACTAGTCTAAATAACACTTACCCTCCAAATTTTATTGGATTTACTACAGTCGTTTTGGATAAATTTGTTAAGGTTCGAGTAAATCAAAAAAATTTGAATTCTTTAACACTCTGAAATTAAGTAGGAGTATTTAAACTGATTTTGGAGCGCTAGCATTGCAAAAATCAAGTGAGGTCTTGGCGAAACGTCTGCAGGATTCCAATCGGAGTTCAAGAAACAAACGGATGATATCTGGGAATATGCTGATAGATCATCATCCTACAGATGCTGAGATAAGATATTATCCCATAATTAATATCCCACCAATAAAATTACCAAAAACGTACTTTACAAGTAATTATCAACCAGTGTTCGTTGGTTTTAAAGTTATTGTGGGGGAGCAATACAGTAGGAACCTCCTCAGATGAAAAAACCAAAATCGTAATTAGAATAAATGTTATTATTTTAAAAAAGCTTGATCAGTTTAATAACCAAAGAACTCCAGAAAACTTAAAAAAATAAGAATTTAACATAACTGGCCTGTCAACAGGTGCATTCAAGAGAAAGGGAGAAACCAATAATCGTCAATAATTGACACGAAGAGGAATTTAAAAATAGGAAGGCTAATCTGTTAGTCGTGTCTTAAATTCTGACGTTTTTGAAGATTATCTTGGTGAAATGATAAAATATCTTCGGCTATCATTCACGACGAATAGATAAGACTCAACTACATCTTGAAGTAGACCAGCATATCATTCCTAAATAAATTCTATAGCAAATCAAAAGATTTGTGGCCAGGCACAATACGACGTTCAAATGTGGCCAGTTGATCGTCAAGACGAGATGACAGTGTTGCAGATGACGAACAATATTCTGATATTTTTGTAATATAATTTCTGTGTAAAGTATTTTTTGTATAATTTTTAATAACAAACAAATATTGCACACCATTTTCTGAATTTGAGAATGTATGTATGGTTCCCATAAGGAGAAATAATTTTGCAATAAAATCAGTGACAAACAATGAATGTATCTAAAGTATTCTGCCTTTGCATACCTACCGAAGTTTTATTACTTTACATTTCTCTGAAATAGACTATAAAAAAAGTGATTTAATAATTGATCGAAACTTAAAAAATCCTTAAAATGGCTTTTCTTAATTAAATATGATGGCCAAGAGTATGTAATAAGACATATGGAGGCCCGCTTTGAAACAATATAATCTTGCTTCATTTAACGATCAACATGATCGCTGATATTTCGTCAATTTAACAGTTTTAAGTATATATGTGTTTTTTCTTCTGTATTATCTTTTCAAAATGTGGTGACATCATTATCAGGAAACCATTAAATGGAATGGAATTTTAAAAACAACCTCCAGCTCTTTCATATGTGTTCAATTCTGCGTGTAAATAATACTCTTATTGATTACTGATTAAGAAGTAAGGTTGGTTGGTATTTATTATATTTGGTATTTATTATATTTATCTGCATAATTATAAGTTTTAATATTTTAGATTTTATGAAGTTTCAAGAAAAGATTTGATTTATTTATTTTATTTGTCCTTTATGTTTAATATAATTTGTAACTGGGCACAATCATCAGAATATTCTAGCACTAAATTGCCATGTCAGTGGAATTTTGCTACGAATTCAGGTTCCTAGGGCAATGTCAAACTCCTCATCAGTAGAGTTTTTCAATCAGCCCTCCAATCGGGTTCGAAAATTAACGAAGTAACACATATTAATAGCGACAATCGAAACTAAGTGATAATGTAAAATGAGGATGTTTGAACACAAAGTTTTCTCAATTTGAAATAAAATAATTTCTGAAGAAAAAAAAAAATTCAGTTCCACATAAAGTATACATAACCCTCAACCATTTGATCGTGCACTATTTGTTACACCACGTGCGCTCTTGAACTTGGAATTTTCGGCCGTATTATAATTTAATGCACCATATAGTAATCCGGATATTCGCAGATTCAAGGCGCCATTTCAGCAACGACACTCAAGCAACCGCTAAATGAACATAGCAAGAGGCAATCGCTAGATGTCTTTAGCCAACGCTCGTTGTCCAATGAACTCTTGAAGGGCGTGAGGTACTTAACTACCATAAACAATGTCAATGAGGCGACAACTGCGTACAGCTGGGGTCAGTTGGACCCTACCCACTTTGCAAGGAATCTGATACAGATCTGTGGCCAATTGAAAGAAATTTTTTGGAACGAACCTAGACTTCTAGAAATCTCCTCACCCGTTTATATAATGGGTAAGACGGTTAGAGCTTTTCCGGTTTTTGGGAAGCCAAATATCCAGAAAATTATTATCAGGTGGTCGGAAAATTTATATGGATTTAAGTTCAAAGAAATCATATCTTTCTGAGCAGTAGAAATTTGCTAATGTGTGGGTTCTGTCACTGGGACCTGTCAACCTGAGAGCAATCTTAATGTTGCCTACTTTGTCCAAAACTAATTTTTAATTAAGAAAATTTTAGAACACGGAGTTAGTATTGACGTGAATAATATTCTTCCTCTCAAATGATCTGGTTTTCGTGCCGGTTTTGGGTAGTATTTTTCACTCTTTTGATATTTGACATTTGAAATGATTAATTTATGACACCATGTCCACATAGACCTCAAGCAAAATGCTTTAAAATTAATAAAATTGATAAAATGATCTTAAGGTAAGCGATGAAATTTTCAAGGGTAGCGTTGAATTAACAGATACCTGTCTTATGCTTCTAGACTACAGCAAGGCCTTTGACACTTTTAATCACGAGGTTCTTTGCGCTAAACTCCATTACTTCGGTCTTAGCTAGTTGCCTGTTTGTCTCATTGAAAGCCATTTAAGTGAACGAAGTCAGAGAGTATGCTTATGCGACTCATTTTCACCATTTTCTAATATTACACGGAGGTTCCGCAGAAAAATACAGAGAGAAGTCTACACGGTGGATCTTGTTGATGATATGTTTAAGTTTGTAAACTCACTGCTGGCCAACAGCCAAATTAATTCTGTTTGCCCATTGTTTCAAAAATTTCTTGTGCCCAAGCTCTTCTCATAAATGAAACGAAAACTAAGGTATTCTTTTTTGGAAAAAACGCTAGCTCGTTGGTTTTAAGATTGTCGTAAATAATGAGAACATTAATATTACCCATTATTGTAAGAATTTGGGTGTGTTTTTTAAAAGCAATCCTCGTTTCGAATCGCACGTGTGGAAAACTAAGAACCCTCTATATATTCAAAGATATTTTGAATAGACATCAAACTAAGGTCAGGCGACTCTCTTGTTTTTTCCCTTTTATAGTGTAATGAAGTATACTGGCCTGCCATCTTCAATAAACATCTGATAAGACTACAGAGGCTGCTGTCTAAGGTTCTGTTATATCAGGAAATTTGATTACACAGTATTATTGCGAATCCCGTTGGCTTAAATTAGACCAAAGATTCTTTCTCAACCTATACATTAATCTTGAAAATTGCGCAGTCCGATCAGCTAAAGTATCTTTTTGAAAAACTTGTCAAGTGATCTGGTATTCATGAACGCTCCACTCGTTATAATTATCAGTGTTCTTTCAGCTATAACGTCACTAAATGTTTCAACTCTATTCTAGATGATTTCAAGTGCTGCTCGACCCCTTAGGACTTTAAAAACCGCCTTAAAACTAATCTACTGCCTAATTAATACCATTTTTTTTCTTTTTATTTTGCTTATTTGTGTAGTTCCTTACAGCACCCCCGTTTCATTGAAGTGACTAAGGATAAAAATGTATTTGAGGTACCTTTTTTTGTGGAAATGTTTATAAATGTATTTTTATAACCTCTCCTTCAAAGTGACACAATCAAGTAAATGTAGAATAATTCATAAATTCACTTCATTCATGGTGGATTGAACTGAGGTGGCTTTTACTTTTACTTCAAATGTTTTGATAAAGACACGGTGTTGTCGAAACAATTGTCATGTAAAAATATATAATTTGGTGGAAATCTGAACTTTTAGTTCTTATTTATTTTCATTCATTAGGTGAGTAGCTTTGCTAGATCTCGCCACCCTCCTCTCTTATACTGTTTTATTTCTTATTGTTATAAATATATATATATATATATATATATATATATATATATATATATATATATATATATATATATATATATATATATATATATATATATATATATATATATATATATATATATATATATATATATATATATATATATATATATATATATTATCATCTTTGAAAGATATTAAGTAAATAGTTGTTTCGGAATATGCCAGGTATATAACATGTGTCACAGGTTATACCAGTTCATATAAATACATTTCTTGAGTTTTGCGGTTGCGGACCATACGCAGTAACATCTCTCGTTTGAGGCAGTATATTACATGTATAGTGGACTAAATCGCTATATACATGATCTAAATTTGAAGGTAAGTTGACATATGGTTTAATGTAGTCAGTACTGCTGGACGCAGTAGAGACATGGACGATGAACCAGCAGGAGGCATTCGAAATGTGGACGAATGCTTCGTATTCCTTAGACATAGCATAGACATAAAACGATAATATATAAGAGGAGACTAGGAACCTTAAGCTCAAGTCTTCGTAGTGCAAGGGAACTTTTTCCCTTAACAGTTTTCGCCATGGTGAGCTGAAACGTTGGGACACCGGATACGGCACATGAAAAAAGAAGAATATGTTTAACCAGTTTTTTCACATTGATGATTTATCTCCTTTTGAGGGTAGTCCAAGAAATCTTAAAGGTCTATGCAGCCTCCTTCAAAGAACCGCCTGCCAAGTCCATTTGGACTCTGTTGACATTCTTTGTGGTTTATAAAACTTGGGCACATTTAGATATGCAAAAAACTTCCCTGGGATTCGTATCACGTCGCGCGAACCACCAATATTAATTTAAGGTTATAGTGAAGGAAAAATGAACAAATGAACGCGATATGGGGAAAAAACGACGTTCACAATATACAGGGTTTTTCACTTAAAACTCCGCACGCCAATAAGTCCAAAACGAAAAGAAATATTTAATTTATGTAAAAAGTAGTCAAAGTGTGGGGTCAAGTAGATATTTCCTAAAGTTTAAAAAATTCGACGCCTGCAAAGAGCTGGGCGTCGCGACGCGTCGAAAAATTATTCGATTGCAGAGACTTTGGAAATACGCGCATACAAAAGTACATATTATTTAAAAACTTTTTTGTTATTTACTCAAACTTATTTACTTTACCCGTTTCTAAGTTATACCGATTTAAAGTAAACATTTCTTGATTAATAAAAAATGTGATTAACGCTTATTTTTACAAGTATGCCATGAATGTTAGTTACTATGGCAACCATTGTTATCGCAGTTGTCTTGAGTGCAATTACAAACAATAGATTTCAACTATTTTAGTATGATTTTATTTATTATTTTTTATCGATTTAGTTCTGATAACATGATAAATAAATGAAAAAACAGTAAAATACCTACAAGTTAATAACCAAAATTATTATTGCAATTAACTACATAATAAGACATTTCAAAAAATTTTTTCAAAATTATGTCCATCTGCTCGAACACAACTATCAAAAACTTTTAACAGATGAGCTTGGGTCACTTGTAGGAGAGTCCTTCTTGTGATAGCGGCACACGCTGCACTAATTTTGTTAATGAGATCAGCCATATCTTCGATAGGTTCTTCATAGATAACGTTTTTTAGGTAGCCCCAAAGAAAATAATCTGGTGGTGTAATGTCCGGGGACCTCGCCGGCCACCTTACCGGTCCGTTAGTACCAATCCATCTATTGGGATATTCTCGGTTCAAATACCTCGGTACTATTTGGGCATTATGTGCAGGCGCTCCATCCTGCTGTAGCTACATATTCATTCTAGTGTCAAGAGGCACTTCTTCTAATAGTTCCGGAAGTGTAGTTTGAAGAAATCTTAAATAGCGATCTGCATTTAAAGTTCCTTCGTAAAAGTAAGGTCCAATAAGGAATCCAAATAATAATTTAAAATTCGTTGGTTACCTCTTTCTGTAATCCAACGAGGATGGTTTTCGGACCAAAAACGACAGTTGTGTCTATTAACGATTCCATTATTTTGAAATCGACTTTCGTCGCTCCATAAAATTTTCGAGAGAAAATTTGCATCTTGGCTATACAAATCGGACAATGTCGCTAAGAAATACATTCTTCTAGCATAATCGCCTGGTTCTAGTTTATGAACTAGTTTACTTTTGTACGGGTGACAAGAGTTTCTATGTAGAATTCTCCACGAAGAACTTATGGTAACACCGGTATTTTCTTTTATCTCTGATAGGGATATCTTGGGGTTATTATCAACCTGCTGAATTACAGCAGCAGTATTTTCATCATTTGTAGCCGTCCTGTTCCTATCTCTTTTAGGTTTTATGAAGCTGCCATATTCTCTTAAGTTTTTACATAAACTTGAAAAGGTTTTTGCATCGGGGACTCTTCTATGCGGATAACGCCGTGCGTAAATTCTTTTTGCTTCTCTACAATTGCATCAGCATTCTCCAAACACCAGTAACATGTCTACTTTTTCCTCATTGCTAAATTGCACCATTTTCACATAATAATTCTTAGTTTTTTTTAAACCGAACAAATTTGGATATTTCTTGTGACAAAATGTGACAATTTTTTGATACAGCCATAACAACTTATGTTTGTAATTGCACTTAAAACAACTGCGATAACAATGGTTGCCATAGTAACTAACATTCATGCCATACTTGTAAAAATAAGCGTTAATCTCATGTTTTATTAATCAAGAAATGTTTACTTTAAATCGGTATAACTTAGAAACGGGTAAAGTAAATAAGTTTGAGTAAATAACAAAAAAGTTTTTAAATAATATGTACTTTTGTATGCGCGTATTTCCAAAGTCTCTGCAATCGAATAATTTTTCGACGCGTCGCGACGCCCAGCTCTTTGCAGGCGTCGAATTTTTTAAACTTTAGGAAATATCTACTTGACCCCACACTTTGACTACTTTTTACATAAATTAAATATTTCTTTTCGTTTTGGACTTATTGGCGTGCGGAGTTTTAAGTGAAAAACCCTGTATATTTGGATGCTTCGGTGAAATTACGTCAGAGTGCACACTGCTTCTCCGGGTATTACGACATATCACATACTACGTCATCTCACCAAACACTTTTTTCGGGTCTAAAGGTCGTTGTCGTTGGAGGAAGCAATTCAGGGATCAGGACAACGCCTCATTGACTGGCCGTGAAAGCTCTAACCAATTCCACTTAGATTCTTCAAAAGGTGCTTAACAAAAATTTGAATTTAAAAATTCGGACTTTTTCGTTAATTATTGTTCACTCAAATGAACCGTCGGCAGCAATATAGAGAAACGTAGATGCAGTATGTAAAACTAGTGAGAACTCATGAATACTCATGGATCATAATTTCGCTGAGAATGACAGTGTTTACTTTACATATTTAATTCGTACATTTTCCGACCGCTGATTCGAATCTTGTGGAAGAAAAACATCTGGCAATATTGAAAGTGTCTTTTTGTAAAAATTTGCTGTTTGAACCTACAAACAGGTGACCTACACGGCAACGTGGCAGACTTGTTATACTTCGAAAAAGTGCTGTGGCACATGGGTCCCGGTCTAAGCCCCGGCAACTTGTTGTTCCTGGGGGATTATGTTGACCGAGGATTGTACAGTATCGAGGTGATAGCCTATTTGTTTTCGTACAAAATCCAGAATCCCCACAAAGTGAGCCTATTGCGGGGTAACCACGAGATCAGAGAGGTGCAGAAGCTATTTACTTTCTTCAGGTGTGTACGCGGAACGTTCAGTTGTCCCATATTACCCTGAATTTCATTGTTTTGTAGAGAGTGTTGCCTAAAATTTGGGGAAAAACTCGGGAACGCTGTATGGGGTGCCATAAACGGTGCCTTCGACGCGATGCCTCTGGCCGCAGTGGTTGACGGCAAAGCACGTAGATTTAATAGGCTAGTCAATAGAGAAGTTTTCTGATAGGAAACTGCTACCGAACATTAGCAAAGATAAAATGGAGACGATGCACTGTGGGCAAATCTTTCCAATTCACGCTGCAAATGCAGTTTAAATTAAACAATATCGTTAAATTCTTGAATTCAGAAAAAGCCAACAGTCTATCTTCAGAAAACACTTACGCATAATTTTTTGTAGTTATTGTTTTTTTATATGTATTTATGTATCTTGTGTGCAAATTTGGGGAAGAATTTTCTTTAAATCTTTTTTTCTGTACCTAAAAAATGCGGGACATCTCGTTCATCTTTTCGATTATGTACAGGATGTGTCGGTAATAGGCAAAATACTAAGAATACCCGAAAATTATCTTTTCCGAGGGCATATTTGCATGTTTACTAAAATTTGGCATTACTTTGAATTTATATTGTTGTCTACAGGGCACTTTATGTAGGGTGTCCTTATTTTGCGATTGTGGATTTCTCTCATTTCTTTTTGCCTTAACCTCAGTACTTTAATCAATGAAGAGATAGAACTGATCCATAAATTAGTTACTGCATTGATGAAAATGGAACTAACCATAATATTTCTCTGTTTTTAAAAATGCTCGCACATGATTCCAGCTTGAGTCGTTTCTGTCACCTTCGAGAAAAGAAAAGATTAGTATGTTATTGGAAGACCTTTTTTAAGAAAACTATAACGACATAAAGCGAAATAGAATGTCTCCATTTATTTTCTAGATGAACCACAAATTAAGTTTTCTGAATAATGAATATTTTCATTTTCAGATAGAGCATAAAAAATCTTTTAATTGATGACGATTTTTTGATTTTGTTTTTATAGTAGACCATGATGGATCTCAACAGACGTTCGAAGAAACCAAAGTTTTGGAAGTCCAATTATAGCTATAAATATGGACTTTGATAAAATGAGCGTCATTATTGACAGATTAACTTGATTTACAATACAAAAGTGGCATTTTGATTTATTTAAAAATGCATACAAATTTTTCTGTCGAGAATAATTTCGACATTTTCTGAATGAAAACATCTTACCTCTGCTCTTCTCTCTTTAATAATTTCCACATCAAAGATATTAAACGTTTCATCAAAAAATACACTTCACCACAACCTTCCAATAGCAATGAGGCCGAAAGCAATCCTATACTTGCCACTGTGGTCCTTCCTTACATTCAAAACATCACTGACCACATATCAAAAGTTCTAAAGAAATATAACGTCAAAACCAGATTTACCACTTGTCCAAAAATCTCTCAACATCTGCGGTCCGTCAAAGACAAAATTCCATTTGAGACGCCAGAAGTGTACAGCATTCCACGCATATGTGGCAAAAAATACATTGGAGAGACCGCACGAAAAATATCAACTAGGCTCAAAGAACACGAAAGAGCCTTACGACTAAGACAAATAAACTCATCAGCTGTTGCCGAACACACTCATGAAACTGGGCATAAAATTTTAATAGGTAAAACTAAAATTCTTGCATGTAATCAGTTCTTCTACCAACGAAGAATCCGAGAGTCTATAGAAATCTATAAACAACCTAACAATCTTAACCGCGACTCAGGTCTTTACCTGTCACCAATTTGGGAATCAGTCATCCGACGGTGTTTATACCCCTCATTAGCGCCCCCCTCAAACAATATATAAGCAGGTACAGAGTAAAATACTAGCCAGTTTCAATCAAGCTCTGAAGAAGCCACCAGGATGATTGGCGAAACGTCAGCAATTTCGACTAAGCAAAGACCGACGCAGGAGGAATCCAGAAGTTTTGTAAAAAGTATTCCAATGTAATTAGTAAGTAAAAATTTTTGCACATTTTTTACTTTATTGACTTTAAAAAATAACTTTAATACCAGTTTAATATAATCTACCAACTGCCTGCAAAAGTTTTGTTTTTCCAAAAGAATTTTTTATGCTCTATCTAATAATGAAAATATTCAATAAGACAAAATAAAAATCTGTAGTGTATCTCGAAAACTGTTTGCCTTTATGTCATCATATTCTTCTTGAATAAGTGTCCTATGTACTAATTCCAAGATTGCGTATTTTGGGCTTTCCAGAAAAAAATAAAAAATCTAACTTTGAATTTTTTTCCAATTTCTCAGAAACTATCCACGCTTGAACCATTCTCCATCTTTATTTTAGACACAATGTATACCATTTGCACAGTATAACTACAGGCTTGCTTGTGGTGTCACAATCGTACTTCAGCAGTATCTTGCCTCGCAAAATTCTTTATTGACTGGCTTGTAATCAAATATTCGCGTTTTGAATGGTCAAGTTTTAGATATTTTGTTGCCATGGTGGGGTGCCACCACCGTGGTTGTGTCCCTTGGTGAGCGCCATCAATGACATACCGGCAATTTTAAGCGATCCCGATACCCAAAGTCCTTTGGCATGGGAATTAATGTGGAACGATCCAGTCAGGTATCGTTTGGACCAATTAAACTTTTAATAAATTGACGTTTCTTCTGTCAGAATTTCCAGTAAATATAAAAACTTAAAAAGTTATTTTTTAATTTTTCTTTGTCTAATCGTTCAACAATTCCATGCGACCGAACAGATCCGTTTTTGAAATTTTTGCTACTATTTTTTGTTTTTCTTTTTATTGACGTGTGTCGTCAGCGATGTCTTCATGTGCCAAAAAAATTAGATTATTGGAAATTTTAACAAACTTAACATTACCAGAAAGAAAATCACCAAAAACAGCCATTTTTTTTTATTATATGTTTTTATGCGAAAATTAATCAAATATTTTTAATTATGATGGTTTAAAAATTGGTCGGAGTGTACTGTGCGGTAGTGAGGTGCGGAGCGCCCTCTATCGCCAAAAGTGGGAGACGAGGTCGGCAAAGAAGTGCCGACTAACCAGTTCCTTTTGAGGCACGAACTGTTTATTTTATTGATTGTTTAATTTTGATCGGCTGGAGCAGAGTCGGTACGACCGGTTCATGCAATTTGTATTTCTTTTCCACGTATAGTAATACACTCCGTTAGTATAGTATGTGTGTGTGTGTGTAATAAAGGAGTGAACTAAATAATAATATTAAGATAATACACAACTAAACATGTCAAACATGTTGGGTCAAAACTACTTCTGGGTTTAACCTGCAAATTATTTCTTAAAATTTCCAACTTGTAATAATAATAGTAATACACTCCGTTAGTATAGTGTGTGTGTATTGTTTTTCGACGCTTCTGAACCCGGTGTGCTTCGGTAGAAACACATCCATCTCAATGTGGCGCCTTACGGGGGGCAGAAGTTTTAAAAGTACATGGATTAAGGTATATTTGCAACGGGGTACACGAAACATAATTAGTAACTCAAAGAAAATCCAAGAATCTAGCGGATCTACAATTGGTATTTCTACATGTGAGACTGAAGCGGCGATATTGGCACGGAAAATTGTGCCAAGTGATAGTGACAATATTTTGTTGCGTTTGTTATCGCAATTGTGCGAGTCCTAATGCCAGAAGCTAAGAAACAGAGCTGGAACTCTGACGTCAACATTGCGCACAAATCTGTGGATTTAGATCGTGACAACTTAAATATGGAAAATTATTTAGGGAAACTCACCCCAGGTGTCCTCCATCTTTAACAAGCAAAACAACAAAACTAACCAAAACTATTAAAGTTAGAGAACAAGATTGAAATATAACTGCTTGTAAAAATAAGATAGCTAACGATATTTCTGATAAATCTTATATATCAAACTGCATTTTGGTCCTGCGGGGAAGTTACACCCTCGTGCATTTTTAAATAAATTATTCTTGAAACCTTGGAATAGGGTACATTAAAAGAAGCCTCTTTTAAAACTTTTCACGATTTCAAAACTTCATTCTTGGACTGATTCTGGGTGGTGGATAGGCAACGCGATTTATATTTAGAGCTCAGTTACGGTCAATTTGAAACGAGAAGTCGCTCTGAGCATTTTCTATAGCTCGTCAGCCTAGCTTCATATTTATCAGAAAAAATACCAGAAGAAAAGCTAATTACAATGCTATAAAAACATTTTTGTAGCGATATACATATAAAGGGCTATGCCGATGCCGATGCCTATGAAGTCGAGGCTTATCTGCTTAAAATAGACGAAACTTACAGCCAAACATCGGCTTCACCGATGCCAGAGCAGTCTCCGTCGAGACTCGTCAAGTAAACCAGAAATAATTCAAACCTTCACCTTATAACTACGAAGTTTAAGGAGGATCCTGAAAATATTCTAAGTGACCTTGAAAGCGATTTTGAAATGGTCGAGACGAGACGTCTTCACCAATTATAGAAGCGTCTATTAATAAAACTAAACACGCCATTCTAATAAATAGCGGGAGTGAAGTAACAGCGATATTTCACGATTTTTTAGAAGGCGATCTGTCGACTTTAAATCTATCAATTTTATCAGCAAATGACATCTTTGTTTCAGTAGCGGTTGGAGAAAAAAAAACCACGGGCTTCACAACAAACCCTTTTAACCGTATACATAAATGGACTTGAACTAGAAATTCCATGCCTCACAATTCCCAATTTAAATACAAATATGGTTGTGACCGGCTCAAAAAATATAATGTTTATATCGATTTTGGGAAAACCCAGTTATATTTTTCGGCAAATCAGACGTATGGTCTTGATTCTAAAAATAAAATCAACGTTAACAATGCACCACATACAAACAACCGATATATGTATCTGCAGTTCGGCAAAAGCCCGATACATCCTATGGATAAATTTGTAAATTACCCGGACGAAATATATCACAACCCACTGTTGGAACGGATCTGGGTGCTAGTACATGGGCGACTTCTCGATAGTGACGAAAAAGTATACCAGCTTCTAAATTGGACGCTTCGGATAAAGTAAGCAAATAAATTTTTCTTGCTATACGAGGTTATAAATAAGCGATCTAGATGACAGGGTTGTCTCTAAACAAAACATCAATCAATATCAATGTATATTGATTTTTTTTTAGTAAAAAAACAGAAATTTAGTTTGTACCTAACCCGAATGCCTGTATCGTGTTAGGTTTAAGTAGGGGGGTTATGTTATGGTTTAAAAATTGGTGGGAGTGTAGTACTGTGCGGTAGTGACGTGCGGAGCGCCCTCTATTGTCAAAGGTGGGAGATGAGGTAGGCGAAGAAGTGCCGACTAACCAGTTCCTTTTTGGAGCAGGAACGGTGTTGACCTTTTGTTTTATTAAATGTTTGATTTTGATCGGCTGGAGCAGAGTCGGTCCGACCGGTCCATGCAATTTGTTTTTTTGTCCACGTATACTAATACACTCCGTTAGTATAGTGTGTGTGTGGGTTGCGCGTGCAGGTGTGCGGGTGGGCGTGTGCGTGGGCGTGTGCGTGTGGGCATGTGCGTGTGGGCGTGTGCGTGTGGGTGTGCGTGGGTGTGCGTGTGTGTGTGTGTAATAATGGAGTGAATTAAATAATAATATGAAGATAATACACAACTAAACATGTCAAACATGTTGGGACAAAACTACTTTTTGGTTAAACCTGCAAATTATTTCTTAAAATTTCCAACTTGTAGTAGTAATTTTTTTTACTTCAAGTCCTTATGACAATTACTTTTCGACATAGGGCCGAGTGCCCTTTCTAATTGGCCACTCAGTACTTCAGTACTTACAAGTTCTGCGGAAGGTTCTCTGAAAATATAATTTTTTTCTTTGAGTTTTATGTTTGCAGGCTCGACGCGGTTACAGATAAACTTGCTATGGAGCTCCTGGCAAACGAAGGATTTGCAATAAATAGCAGAAGGGGTACAGCCCATGTGTTCAGCGTCGAAGCCCTAGAGAGATTTCTGAAAACTAATCAACTCACTCACCTGATCAGAGCGCATCAAATGGTTTTAGCTGGGTTTCAGGTATAGATTTTGATATTGTTTGACAGCGACAGGGACGGAGGTTTTGGTTTTACAGGTGCAACAAAAAGGTAAACTTTTGACTGTATTTTCGTCTTCCAAATATGCCGGAGGTCAAAATGATGCCGCTTGCATCATGGCCGACCAGGGAAAATTGAGAATACTGAGGCTGGAGACAGAATAATTTCGATTGCGTCACAATTTTGCATACAAATGCTTAGTCAATAAATTCCCAGTTGAAATATGATATTGACTGAAAAGTCTGAGCTGGAAAGGCCTGCCGGATAAAAAAAGGCGGTAGTTAAAATTAAATTTTATTAACAAAATCTAACACATGTAAAAGTAGAAACCAATAAATCTCTAATACACAACGCATTCAATTTTCACTAGAATTTAGAACCACAATGAAATACAGTCTATATTTATATAACGATATATTAAATTATTAACATATGTATTTTCGATTCCGTACCACGAAACAACAAGACTACGAGTTTCTTATAAGCTGCTACCTTATCTTTTTATTTTTAGAAAGTAGAGAAATTTTTGCTTCAATGGGACCTCTTTGCAAGAGGTAATGTAAGAGCGTAAATGATCTAACTGATAATTTAAAAAGAAGAAAAGCAAAGTGTAAATGTTCACATCGTTCTTTTGCTCAAATCGAAACATAAAAAAAAACATTTTTATTCCAAAGTATTGGCAAAACCTGATTAAAAATCTTTATAGTCAAAACCGGTCCTAGCATGCCGGTCTTCGATTTATTAACGACAATCTTTTACGTTTGTTTTTTTATATCCTGTTTCATTGTACACTACATTTAAATTCGTATTCCACCTCATTCCCAAGCAAAAATAATGGTTTTAAATTTGATAAACTGTTTTGAAAATGAAATATAAAGTAGAAGATAATTAACGGGTATCAAGGATATACTGGACCTCAGTTTAATGACTTTTGTATGAATTAGAGAAAAAAATACTTTACTGTGGCAATAAAATATCTAAAACTTGCACATTGAAAACGCGAATATTTGATTACAATATATTATATAATTGTGTCACCACAAGCAAGGTAGCTTGTAGTTATCCTGTGCAAAGGTATACAGTGTGTCCAAAATAAGGTTGGAATAACACAGAGGTATTGTAATCGTTCCAGCGTGGATAGTTTTTGAGAAATTGAAAAAAATACAAAGCTAGATTTTTTATTTTTTTTCTTTAAAGCCCAAAATACGCCAAACATAATCTTGGAATTAGTACATAGGACACTTTTTCAAGAAGAATATGATTATATAAGGGCAAACAGTTTTCGAGATACACCATAGATTTTTTTTATTGAATATTTTCATTATTAGACAGAGCATAAAAAATGTTTTTAAGTGACGTTTTAAATTTGATAAACTGTTTTGGAAATGAAATATAAAGTTGAAAATAACAAGTATCAAGGAAATACTGGGACTCAGTTTAATGAGTTTTGTATTCATTCAAGAAAAAAAAAACAATATATAAGAAGGCTAAGAAGTGTAAACGAAGAAAACCAAAGAAAATTTGAGTCAAGACTTGAAAATGAAAGTTGGGAATGTGATTTATGATTTATAGAGATCAAAAACCAATATAACTTTTCCAGTTTTGAAAGAGACTCTAAAAAACGTAGTGTCTTGGAAATTCGACTTGAATCACTACGAAAATTAATTGAAAAGTTAGTTTTTCGCTATAAAAAGGACTTCAACCGAAGATTTTTCATGTGAACAGTCACAGATAGTGAGTTTGGCGTGTTCAATTTTTAAAGAAATATTTTCACATTCTTCTTCTTCTTGGTGTGCCTATCCGTTCCGGATGTTGGCGGTAATCAAAGCGATCTGAACTTTGTACACTCCTGCTTTCAATAATCCTCGTGTTGACAGGGAAAACCAAGTTCTAACGTTTTTCAATCAGGAAATTCTACGTCTTCCAGGTCCTCTTCTGTCCAAGGATTGGATTATCAACTGAAGCAGACCATATCTTTTTGGTTCCTCATTATATATCTCAGATATTCTAATTTACGTTCCTTATTGATGGCCACTATTTCGGTGTCTTTCTGAAGCATTTCTAAAACTGTTTTGTGGGAAACGTGATCAATCCAGGGAATTTTAAGAATTCGTCTGTAGAGCGACATCTCAAAGGCTTCAAGTTTCTTTGTGGACGCTTCCGTCAATGTCCAGCACTCTTAGTTTGTTAGTTTGATTTGTAAATTAAGGTCTCTACTCTTAAACATGTTTCCCAGTGGCTTTACATTATATAATATCATCCTAATCATCCTATAATCGTCGCATTTGTTTGTAGTAACTAGGAATCCTAACATTCCTAACATGTTCCTGCTTAACATGAATGAACCAATAGGAAACGTACTGCTTGGATAGTGATGGCAATTGTCTTCAAGAGATCAAAACTAGCATTGAAGTGGCACGTTCTGCCTTTAGATCAACGCATGATGCTCCATCATATAGACATTTAAATTAGAACAAGGCTATTCTGATGATATGTTCACTTGGTATTGGTTTATGACACTCTCAGGAACGTACTATCGAATGTGCCGCATCTCTTGCATGGCGAGAGTACATACGATTACTGGTATGGATGCGAAAGGAGAAGGAATTTATAGAAACCATTCACAGGTACAAGTTAGAATATCAAACATGCACAAAATATCACTTGTTGCAATTGGTCCTGCAAGAAAACATAGACAGAACACGCCCTCCTGCAGACTCAAATTTTGGCTGAGAAACCTTAGGGAGTGGTACCAAATGATTTAAAGACAACTATTCAGAACAACAGTATCTTGGAAGAAGACTAAGAAGAACATTAAATGGTTTGTTTTGGTTTTCATATTTTTGGATTATACGTCCTTGTTTCCAGTGTTGTTTTCTGGAAATAATTATTCTGCTTAAATACTAGTGATTTTAGATAGCGGCTAAAATAAATTGAAGTGTTTATTTATTGCACAATATTTTGGTAGTTTGTGTTTTCTGATTTGATTCATCTAATGAGTGCCTCTCATGATAAGACTGGATTTGCCTATAAATAGTTTCATGTATATAACATGTAACAAGCAAATTTTCTGCACTTTTAATACTTTTATGGGGTCACGTATTACAAAAAAAAGGCGTGGAAAAGCAACCATTAAAATTGCGAGAAATCATGCGGTTTGAGTACAGGCGAAAATTTTTTTTATAAAAAAAAGCTTTCATTACTTAAAGCAGATAGACCAAGTTTGCCACTAGAAAATATAAACAAACGCAATTAACAACTTAAAGTACAATGTAAATTCTTTATGTTTAAATATTTCACAACTTACACTTGCTTATTAAATGGAGTCTCTGACGCTTTGGTCAGGTCTTCTTTGTGCGAATTCTTTATTATTTATATTATTGCAAAAAGTGAAATTTCTCACTGACTTTGCAGTAACCACGACGCAGTCTCGAAAAATATTTTAGGATATTTTATATCGAGGATAAATAGAAAATCGTCTTTATTCTTGCTTCGTGCAATTAAGGAATGCTCTAACTAGGTACGGAATCTCAGACCTCCGGATTTTGTTATTAATTAAGCCACGTCATTTATTTTCGAATACAAATCTAACGGCTAGTTTGCTAATACTGACCTCAGACGTGCGTACATGTAATTGTATATGTATTATCTTTCATTACCTCGTAATTTGTAGAATGGTTTCAGAAGAATACATTTATTCCCGTTATAACACATTTCCCGTCTATATCTAACATATTTTTTAAATACTATTTGGTTCAATTATGCCTATAATAAAAAAATGCTAATAGAAATCCTAGCTCAGTACTTTTATTTATAATGGTTCCCACTCATGTTATTATTATTATCTAGATTGGTGTGCAGCGTGGTCCACTTAAAGATGGCGATCTGAGAAATAGTGATATCTGCAAAAAAACTTTGATACAAAATTTCTTTATTGACTTAAACTTCTTAACTATATCGTTTTTAAACATGGCGTTAGGTTTTTTCTGCCTATTTGTGAACTTTGTTATTTTAAACAAAATTTCTGGTATTTTGATATATATTCCGAGTGTGCGTCTTTACGCGAGTTAAATGATATGTAATAGTAGAGATGTGTGATATGGCGTTTCGTGTCGAGAGGCGTTTTAATTACTTTTTGACTGCCGCAGGGAGAGTATATATTTTTCAAATTGTACATCTTCAAAATAAAAAAACGGACGATCTTGCTGCATTTTGCTAGTAAAAAAAAATAAGCAACTTGCTACAGTGCTGCCACATTTCGTCTTTTGTATATTTTAAAAATATTATACTATATCTACATTTTATTATATTTACTTAAGTTGCGCAATAAAATAAAATATTCACTTAATTTTATTTTCAAAAATCAAAAATAGAAATCTGGTATTTTATGCCTTTAGAGATAACAATCACACAACAAAAATCAGAAAAACAACCCATCTCCGTCATATAATGCGATTAATAGAATACATACACATACCAAACTGGATAGAAACAGAGACTAGGAGGAGAGTTTGTTTATTAATATTCTTATAACAATTTAAAAATATATTAATATACTATCTACATGTAGTAATTTCCTCGATAATTCATAATAATATCATACAGAGAGTAGAATAATTTAAAGGATAATGTCAAGATACACGATAAATTTTTTTGTTGAAAATATTCTCAAACTTTTGCCCCGGAACGCTACTGGACTTTTTAATTTTAATTAGTTAGGGATAAGTTAGCCCTCTCATACAATAAAGAAAATTGCCTCAGGAATCTGGATAAAGTTAATTTAAGATATTAATAGAAAACCTAATTTGTTTCCAGTTAGGGACATGCAATACATTTTTTTTCCTCGAAAACGAAGCATGATACGAAAAAAATTCGAGAGATAAGAAAGTTGCATTTTTAGTTTAGTTTTTAGTTAGGGTAAAAAAGCCAGTGGCGCACATTTTTTGTCTAAAATGTTCATAATTTTAATTTATGTAAGCCACTTGTGAACAAAATTTATGAAAAACAAATTTGTTTTAAAGTTTGACACCGTTCTCAGACCCATGTTTATTAAAACTCCTTTTAAATTATTCTAACATCGGAAACTCGAAATTGAGTTGTAATATAATATATAGGCGATACCATTCGAAAAACTAGAATAAATTTACAAAACGCAAATTGTAGCTTTTTTTTGCTTTCTTAATGTAAGGCAGTATAACCTGTAATCCTTTATTTAATGTTTATATGAAAATCTATAATATTTGTGTCAAATAATGAGGAAAAATGTTTCTGCATACGAAACGTCGCATCACAGGCATCTTTCGATATATCGTTGAACTCGTTTTGGAACGCCTTTTGCGAAAGGGATTCAATATATACGGAGTTCCACATAAAATAATAACTTTTGTTCTTGGTTAGAAAAAACTAATGCCCCTGTACACATAAAAACAATATATTTAATAAGTTTATGTCAATATAATAATCTTTTCTATTCAATTTGTTTTTGTGGATTTTACCTCAGATCGGATAGTGGGTCGCGTTACGAGGACCACCCTGTACAGCGTGTGCGGTTATAAAAGACCGTAAACCAAGTGTTTTGATAATGATATTTTGATTTCGATATGATAAATTATTCGGAGCATGCAGCATTTATTTATTGTACTCGTACTCGTAATTTTGATGATAACGTTCAGATTATGATAGAAACATGACGGCTTAAGACCCCCCTTTTTTGGTAAACAGTTTTCCAAACATCTAAGAAGGCATTCCTCATCCATACACTTATTATTTCCCTTCGCGCAACAAATCCCCCCATCTGCAGCGGCTTTAATGGAAATTCTTGGCTTGCTGTTTGTCCAATCGATTATATGCGGTTTTATCTGTCACAAGACCGACTTTTAGTGAGAGGAAAACAATTTTACATATATAAGTCTATATATATTTTGTAATATTGCGCATTTTTGCGATTAGATCGCAATTTTGCTTAAAGCTAACGGGTTGCGCCATACTGTTTGGGGCATGTTTTTCTGTTTGGTTCTGATGGCTATTACAATATTTTACATTGAAATCAAAGCTTTGCAAATATTTGCGTTTTAACTTGGCTAGAGAATTTAGTTTTAGAGATTTCTCTTCTTACCAAAAGAAAAGACTTACAACCCTATTAAAGTTTTCCATAGAGAGTGAAAAGAAGAGGGGGTAAAAATAATAGAGATGTCGAAGTGATGTTAGAAAATCTCAAATCTTTTCACTACTACTATCACAAGTTTAATTTCACTTAAATCAATTTCAACCTTTGAGGAGTTGTTAATAATTGAGGGTGTCTGCTTAATTAACGAAATTAAGCACAATTTGGTCAAGTTAGCTTCTTTTCATATTCTTCCCAAATAGATTATTTAAAAAACAGTTTTCTGCGTACAAAGGGTTCTTGAGAAATTATTATCCGGTTTATAAATATTGCTTTGTCAATATTGTTATGGATCAAAACTAGTTCATAACCAAACACTAAACCAAAAACTAAACATGTTCTCAAGTAAAAGGTACACTGAATCTGTTACGAAAAAAAAACAGATTGATATTGTTTGAGAGAAGAATTTGAATTTAAATTTGTCTATAGGGTGTCCTGTTGAACAAAAATTATATTTGCCGATGGTATTTTGTTTTGATGCTTAGAATACTAAAAATTGTTAGAGAAAATTGCAAAAATTTTCTTAATCTTTTTTGTGTTTCTTGAAATAATGTTTTTATAGGGGTGCGGCAAGATCTAGAAATACTGTACAGTATCGTCATTTTTCGTTTTTATTGGGTGGGGAGGGGGAGGGCATCACAGTTATTATTAGAGATAGGGAACTCAGTTTTCGTGAAACGAAGGTGCCGGTTTTAGTGTTTTTGAAATACGGAAAGAAACAAAAATGCAATACAAAAAGCAGTAAATTTAAATGAAACTACTCAAACTGATTTCCACCAGCTGTCAGTCATTTCTCGCATAGTTTATAAATTCTTCTTTGGGCATGTACGAAGATAATTGCCTACAAAGTCTAATCTAGAGTTCAATGGCGTACTGAGATGTCTCAAACTATTCCAGATTACATTGTCGTAGTTCATTGGAGGTCTTCTAATCAAAGACATACCCGTCATTGCATAGCCTAATGTTTGTATTTTGTAGTTTGAATTTTTTATCTGATAGTAAAATTACTATAACAGTCATAGTCATAGTCATGTTTATTTAAAAATACAAAAAACACAAAACCTCGGTAATCTGACAAAAATTCTGAATGACATGACGGGACCGTGTTATGGTGTTTTTAAAATAACCTGCCATTGTCAACTAACAAAAATGAATATATATTTTTTAAACTAAAATATTAAGAATAATATTCAGAGCAACTACAGAGTTGTATATGTTTTTGGGTGCTAGTGACCGTCTTATCAAAAAAAAAAAAAGATTACCTTGGAATATTTCTAGAATGTAATTGAAGAAAAATCTGAATATGCTCCTGAATTTTGGGTGAAAACGGACAATATACCCACTTTTTACTTTTCTAATAAGGTTAGCATAACCGACATAATAGGGGTGGCATCATTTGTTTCTCTATCTTTACTATCAAGCGATGGCTTGTAAAACCTTCGCAAAATGTACAGGCTGTCCCAAATTGGGTTTCTTTGAGTGGTATTTCTGTTATTTTTATAGATAGGAAGTTGAAGTTTTTGTGAGAGTACGTTACTTTTTCGTGAAACCAAAGATGCGGTAAACAAAATCTTCATAGCTCAAAAGAGCTATGAAGATTATGACTATGAATTAAAAAATTTATAAGATTCAGAGCTAGATTAAGAATACTGCATTTTCAAGCACCCCTCGTATCAATAATCAGACATAACTTATACCTACATTATGTTTTGAAATGGAAGACTGTATATTTATATACTGTAAAATGTGTCTTTCTTTTACCTTTTCAATAATACATAATACTTTTTCAGATAAATTTTTTAGTCTCTAATACGCGGTGTTTTATTAAAAAAAAGTAAAAACAAAGTATTGCCCTTTAAGTTTTGGACCCGGCCCTGTACAATGACTCCGAAGGAGGAATTGAAATCTAGCAAAAGTAATATAAGAGGTAGATCTCACATTTTTGATAAGTTATCTGATAATTGATATACGATGGTGCCTGAAATGCAATATTTTCAATTTAATTCAGTGTTTTGAAAACTGGAAGGGTTCTGAAAATTTTGTTAACTGCATTTTTAGTTTTATGAAAAAGTAGCATGCTATCTCGGAAACCGTCATTTTCCATCTATAAAAATAACGGAGATCGCCCTCAAAACTTCCCAAAATGGAATACTCTGTACTCTGGATTAATGGCGAAACGAATGTGAAAAATCCATTTTTGATTTAATACCCGGAAAGTAGTGTAAAACCGTTTTCATCAAGTTTACCAGATCAGGTGCCTTCATATCAAATTCGATTCGCATTTTAAAAATGGGGCCACAAAACGTCCGTAAATAAGGAACCGCGAAAGATAAGACTGGAAAACTCGTTATTGTGTAACGTTTAGTTCATTGCGTAAAGACGGATAATCTTCCGCCGTCACGGAACGTTTCGGAATACAACAAACTAAAACTAATCACAAGCCAAATCCGATTTTGCCCGCGTTAAGCAGTCTGATCTACGCGAAATGAACAAAACCCCTCAACCGAGAGGCACCACCGACTAAGACATTTTCCCGAAAATTAATTTCCCGTCCCTGCATTATATTAAAATACGTCTGGTATGGGGTGGCGCGGACCTGGCGGGCGATAGTCGTTCATTTCGTCTCCCGCTGGGGCGCACTGGTTCGGAGAGCACGACACCTTCGCCCCCTGACCGCAGATGCACTCCAAACAGTTGCCGGTGTCGTGGGGTAATTTATCCCCTATTTGGTACTCCCTGCCTGTAAAATTAGCGGAATGAATTCAAATTAGTTTTCTCCGTAATACTATTTAAAATTTCAAGCTTCGAAATGTACTTAAAGTGTTCTTATACGGAATAACACTTAAACGACACTGTAGCTCTATGTTGGTTCGATTTAAGAGGGTCCAAAATTGCGTAGTCAATTACCTTCCTATTGCATGGGTTCAAAAATATACTGACACGAAGATGTGGCGGAAGTTAGATTTGGATTTGGATTCGGATTGGCAAATATTACAGTGGACCAGTTCGTGACTAACCTTTATTAAAGCACATATTCCTATGGATATACTGGGTAAGTACGCACGGAGATATTATCAGCGAATTTCCAAAAAGTCTTATCCCAAGTTGCTATACAGAAAATAACCCCTTTTCCTCAAAAAATAAATTAATTTAATTACTATACCACAACCTCCAATAAATATGACGTTGTTCCAGATATTCAACTGGACCATTGAACAGCCACTTAGGGGAGCTTCAAAATGATGTATTGCTCAACCACTTTAAAACCGTCGGGAAGATGGAAAACTACCCCAATAATGAAAGGCTCAAAAATTAATTATAATTATTTCGCAAGCTCAAAAAATCTGACGTTGTCCCAGAGGAGCCACTTAGGTGTGCTTCAAAATGATGTATTGCTCCAGCCACCTTGAAACCGTTAGGAAGATACACCTCTAAAGAGAAATGCTCTAAAGTTCATTATAATTATTTCGCAAGCTCAAAAAATCTGACGTGTTCCAGGTATTTAATTGTACCATCAAGATCCACTTAGGAGAGTTTCAGAATGATAACCTTGAAATCGTCGGGAAGATATAAAAGTTCCCCCAATAATGAAATGCCCTAAAACCCATTATAATTATATCGCAAAGCTCAAGAAATCAGACGTTGTCCCAGATATTGAATTAGACCACTTAGGGCAGGATGTTCTAAAATTCATTATAGTTATTAAAATTATAGTTATTTCGTAAGTTTCAAAAATCTGAGATATTGAATTAGACTTTCGACGAGCCACTTAGGAGTGCTTAAAGGTTATGTATTGCTTAACCGCTCTGAAACCGCCGGAAAGATATAGCCCCAATAATGAAATATCCAAAAATTCCTTATATTTATTTCACATTCTCAAAAAAATGTGACGTTGTCCCAGATATTCAATTAGACCATTAGAGAGTCACTTAGAAGAGCTTTAAAATGACGTAATGCGAACAACCTTGAGACCGCCGGGAAGGTACAAAACTACCCTATTAAATGAAATTCCCAAAAATTAATTATATAACTCTATTGTGAGACCGGTCCTTAAATATTCTTCTGTTGGGAATTCTTCGAAATTCAGAATTTAGAATTGAAAACGTTCAAAAAAGATTTATCAAAGTAGTCAATTATAGGTTCAATAGACCATTGCAAAACATTACTTTTCTTATTATTCCTATTTGGTATTCTAGAAACTGAAAACCCTCGAATGTCGCAAAGTTTTTGCTAATATCTCTTTTGTAAATAGCCTTATAGATCCGCTGTTTTGTATTAGTTGTCTGCACTTTAATAGAACTAACTATATCCCAAGAAAATGATTGTCATGATGTTTATCACTGTGTGTAAAAAGTTATAATGATGTTTTTTGTCAACATAATAGCAATTGTGTTATTTCTCAGATAAGTTTAAATGCCTTTGAGAACTGCATAAGAAGTACCTGTAGATCTGTTTCGGAAAATGAAGATATCAGGAAGATGAAAGGAAGGCGGGGAAGAGCATGTGAAGGAAGGGAAAAGAGTGGTCTAATGTCTAAAGAGTTACTTTTTGTTTTTGCTTGTTGTTTGATTCCTATGTTTGCTCTTGTATTCCTCTCTAACTTCATTGTAACTTTATACTATCATGCAACAGTGTGGGGTGGTAGAATGGCGTCTGTTTAACCGACTGTGTTAAAATAAATATAAACAAGAAGAGTAGATCGATGAATGGCGATTATTAGATGTGGCCATAAATGTCTTTGTTTCATTTTTTGTGTTTTATATTCATGTTCTGGCAATTTGAGTTGAATAATTGATATTAATAATTATTGAAAAATCCGTATTACAACATTGTCTTCGAAACAAAACTAATCTCTCTGGTTTTGAATACATTGACAATACATCAAAATGACTCAAATTTACTTAGAAACATTAAATTCTATCTTAATTGTACTGTCTGTTTTTTTGAGATTGCGAAATCAATATAACGAATTTTTGGATATTTCATTATTGGGGGTAGTTTTATATCTTCATCTTATCAAAGCGGGTGAGTATTTTGGTCTGGTTGAATCTCTTCGACAACGTCAGATTTATGTGGTATAGTAATTAAATTAATTTATTTTTTGAGGTGGTGCAAGGCGTAAATAATATATTATTATTATATTTCCACGCTTACTTACCCAGCGTATTCAGAGGAATATATTTTTTTAATTAAGGTAACTAACGAACTGATCCACTGTAATATTTGGAAATCCAAATTTAACATCAGTCACATGATACAAGGCACCCTTGCTTTAAAAGTGACACATTTCAAAAATGGCGATTTTTGAGCGAATAGTATCAGCCTATTCAGAGAAAAACGCTTTATTTCTCAACAAAACCTTCTCAAATTTATTTTATAATGTCGCTAAATGTCGCAAGTGTCATTTTAAAAGATAAATTGCACACAAACGGTTTCTGCAATTAATATTCGCGTAAAGAATTGTCGAAGGTGTTTTATCTGAATATTGTTTGAACTTTATTTACAATATTTTTAATTAATTTTAATCAGTTTTGAAGAAAACGTAAGTACAAATTGTTGTTTTTATTTTAATATGTATCACTTCAGATTATTATATTTTATTTTTACTTAAATTTGATTAATTTTTTATTAGGTGATATTTTTTTCAAAAATCATGAAATAAACAAAAGGGCTTTTGTCAGTGGCACAGAAAAGTGTTTAAAACACCTTACCTATTTTTGAACTGGTTAAATTAAAGAAATCGTCACAGTTTTTGTGGCATTGAAGGGAATCTTATAGCGGAGCTTTTAGGTAAGTTAGTTCACTTGCTAATATAATATTTGTTTTCTCCCTTAACTTTCTAGAAGACGCTAGCAGAGGCATTTGTCAGGATAATTCGGAATATAGTGTATCGAGTGATATTGACAGACCGACAGTTCGGCGAATAGTGCAGAAGCCGAATTGAAAATTAACATTCCCAAAACGAAGGGGATAATGTTCACAAGGTCATTGAGAAACGCATAAAAAGATGTATAAAAAAATGGCCCTCGATATCGTGTTCAAGAACAAATTGGCAGCAATTTTACAACAGGCAATGAAAAAAAGAAAGTAAAATGGCGTGACATTAATGTGCCAAAGGTGGGAAAAAGTGAACCGAATTTATTTTTCTATAAAACTTCCTTTGAAGAAAATTCATTTAAGTTTGTACACATGCTAAATATGAAAAAATACTATATCGCAGGGTAATTTGGAGCGAACTTTAGATATCCCATTAGCTCGGGCATATACTTATAATTTAATGTTTTAAACAGTTGATGTTTTCTTTCTGTTTGTACCTTGGATTTAATTGTTTGTATTTATAATATTACCAACTTTTCAAAAAAGAGTTAATGTATGCCAAGTATTTAGCTTCGAAAAGTTACAAGAATTTGGCTTTTCCAGCACTAAATTTTAAACAGTTTCTGGAGCTAAATTCTTGTTAACTTTTTAAATTATTTTATTTCAACTTTTCCCACAATAACTTAATTTTAAGACAAAACTTTAAACGGGGTAATGTTTTAATGTCACATCTTTTTAAAAAAATATGACAGGTTTTTTTTGTGCAAAATTCACAAAAAAATCACGAAAATCAAAAATGTTTATTTATATTGAAGAAAAAACGTATTCTTATTTCATTTGTAAATTTTTTATAAAAATGCGAAAAGTTTTTTTTTTCGTTTTAAAGCAATGGTGCGATATGGGCCTAAAGAAATTACAGGAAAAACGTTATCCGAATAAATATAATAAATATCCCAGCATCAATATTCCCAAATATTCTCGAATATGTACAACAAAATTCAAATTATTGTTGTTCACAAACAGTCAATGTAACCCTTGATCAAAGAGTTTCTTGTGTGGCTCACCCATTATTGAGTTCTTTCCTTGTGTTAAGTTAAGTGAGTATGCATCGATTACATCATCTGAAACACTAATTTAGGGAGAAGAAATTGAAATCGATCTCGCTTAGAAAAGGGGCGCAAAAAATAAAAAATGAACGAGCTGCAGGTCCAGGAAATATTCCAGCAGAGTTAATTAAATATGGTACTTACTCGGTGTATAAATCATTACCTTAACGGGACCCCTATACCAGACGAATGGAAAGTAGCATAAAAAAGCAAATAAGTTAGATTGCTCCAACTACAGAGATATTTCAGTCACAAGCACCTTAGTCGTTTGATGGAGGTATTATCAGATACTCAATTGAAGCAGAATATAAGAAATTTGAGGATGAATCGGGAATCGCGATTTCGAGTTGGCAAAATGTGCACAGACAACGTTTTTTTTTGTCTAAAACAGATAATAGAGAAAAGATCAAGCACTGATCTTATGTTTGTAGATCTCCAGAAAGCCTATGGTACTGGTCCTATAAAAAACTTATCGCAGGCCTTACAGGAAACCAACATTTACCTCACATCGTGTAGCACCAAAGTTGGTGACAAAAGACCTCAATTTCATGTAAGACGAGACGTGGGTTTATGAGTACAACAAGCAGTCCATACCAAAAAAAAAAACAGTGCATTGTGAATTTTTGCCAGAAGGCCAGACAATACAAAAAAGTATTATTTGGGCGTTATGAATTGTTTGCGTGAAGCAATTCGCCGAAAGATTCCAACGGCGACCGAATTCGCCTGATTTGATAACCTGTGACTTGTATCTGTTCAATCGAGTCAAAAAATCACTACGGGGAACGCGATTCAGCAGCCAAGAGGAAGTAATGGAAAAATCGCAGGAAGCGCTGATGGACATACCGAAACAGGATTCGATGGGGATTACTTTGAAAGGGATAATATAGATTTAGACGAATAAACTTGCATTTTCATTTTTATGAATAAATTCCGTTAACTTGTTGATCAAGTGGTATTGTCCTACTTAACCCGAGGAACGAGAGAGGATAAAAAGAAGTGCACAAATTTCCATTTTATAAGTCCTAACTATCAAACACCGATGTAGTACAGCGTTCGTGAGAATTAATCAAAAGGTAATTATAATATTTCAATTCATTTAACACCTATACCTACCGTTACCTAGTTACCTATATTTTTTTTAAATTTGTTCAACAAGTAGTTTTTGGAAAAGTTTAGTTCTAAAACGTTTGAGGTCGCTTAAGCTTTTTAATGAAAAGAAGCTTTTAAAAATTTCAGTCGCCCGCATTGCCGGAGTAAACTGTAAAATGGAACTAATATTCTATTTCCAGATTTAACCAACTCTTTGAAGTGTCTCTAATTCTGTCGAACTTTCGAACCCCAAAAATCAACCTCGGACAAGAATTTTCAATTTTTGAATGCGGCGTATAACAAAGCAGAACACTATTTTATGTTTCTTACTTAAAAATAAAATAAATTTTAACGTTAAATAGGCCTTTTGTAAAAATTTCGAAATATGCTCTGAAAATCTCCAATCTTTCATCCTAGAACTTAATTTTTTTATTATTAATCTCCACAGAATGACCATAAAATAGAAATCTCTCCCTATCACCATTTGCTAGCATTTAATTGCTTAGTGTACATCTCTTATTCTCTGACCAAGCGACAGTTTAGGACTGCAAAGGCTTGCTTAGCTTCACCCGGAAGAAGAAAGGTAAATGTGTATGTCGTCTGCATAATAATTATGAGAACCCGATAATAGAAATTTTGTGAAACGTGAAACATATACAGTGAAGAAAGGTGGTCCTAAAATGGACCCCTGAGGTATACCTTTGGTTAATTTTAAGAATGAAGTGACACCATTATATGTTACTTCTTGATGCTTGATGAATGAAGCTAAAAGCTTGCCTTCATCTGCAGCCCTAAATATATCATTCGATATATGTAGCAGAGCTGTAGTGCAGCTATGTACCGCTTTATATCCAGATCGAGCGAATGTTTTAAAAAAAATGCCTAAAAACCACTAAGGAGAGCCTGAACTGCATGTTAGGTTCAACTGTGATACTCAGGCATCCCATTTTTACATGTTTCTACAAGAGTAACTTTGCTTGAAACGTGTGTTTCTAGTAATCTTTGCTTTAATTCACCCGACATAGAAGGTGCTACCACCACCATCATAGACTATTTCCTTTATAACACAGTTTCAAACGATTACCGTGTTTTAAATAGAATAACCCTATGCATTACTTCATTTTTTGCATTCTACCGAAAGTAGAAATAGTTAAAACGCAATATCAAATAAAAATTATGTCTTTTATGCTTATTGACAATAAAATATAAACGTAAATTTCTTTTTACCTTCTTATGTATCTAAGTTGTTAAAGTTTATTTCAATTTTACTTTTCTACCCACCTTTTTTATTTTTAACTTGCTCCTAATATTTTTTATGTACCTTTTCTCTTTGTTTTCCTTTCTGCGAGTTGGTTTTGATTGGTTTGATCTTCTTTTGCACGTTTTAAAATGAATTAATTGCATTCTATGAACTCTATATGCTATTATTTTCATAAAATTTTAATTTCAAGAGAATCTGCTTGAAATGTTTTTTTTTTAACAACAGCATGAAACCGGGTAAAATAGTTTCAAACTGTTTTTAGCACCCCTTAGTCTGCGACCCAAGACTGTAGCTTTTACGATCTTGCTCGACATCTGCTTTATGCCCTCGAAGCTCCTTAACAATGTTATAACTTGTTCTATGAAATCGTATTCGACAGGTTTCTTATGGGAAATCTTCCAGGCAACGGCAATTTTTATCTCCTATCAATACAAACGATGTCAGATAATTCCATGATCGTTCTCTATGAGTGCGGTGTACATGTTAGTTGCTAGGTAATTATAGAGATACCCAATTAGAATGTTCAATCCAGCTAGAGGTCATTTTATTTTTAGAATACTGAAACAAATGGATCATATGAGTCAATCACAATAATATTTCTATCCTTCAGCTAGATTCAAAAATAATACAAAATTTTGTGGTACACAGTAGACACCATCAATTGTTTATAAAAGGCTTTTATATTTTTCTGCCAAACTAATATAAAATAAATACCGTGGACATCAGAAACATAAATGGTGGTTTCGAGAGTGATGTCGAGACCACTGAGTTGAGAGTGATACGAATAGCTTAGTTGATCATAAGTATTTGCCAGATCCCAATGAACATTTTGACGAAAAAGTAATAGAATCTGATCAATGAAGAAATAACCTACAAGAGCAAAGAACAGAGGGACAAAGAGAAACAAGAAATGCTTAATTAAAACATCCTGATGAAACCACAAATATCTCCCTAGCATACAGAGAGAAGCAGAAGGAAAAATTTTGAAACCTTTAACTGTAAATGAAAACCAATTTCCCTTTTTGGTAGTTCTACTTTAGCTACTAGGATTTTAGAACATGCAACTTCTGCATCAATTTTTACTGGACTGGATGTAAATGAGTTAGTTCAATAAGGAAAGAAATGGACAAAACAATGTTACAAGCAGATTTTCGTACCGAATTAGAAGAAACCATATTTCAAATAAGCGAGCTAGACAAAAAATGAACAAAATGACCGACTTAAAGGAGGTTGTGACCAAAATAGGACCCAGGTCTACAAATAAAGAAAGCAAAATTAGATGCATAGTCCCAAAGGCACACACATGCGAAAAGAGTTGAATGGCATTGTGTTTCTATAAAGATATAACGGTTTTAAACATGTTCCTACACAGCATTTGTGAAAACAAAAATTCGTGCATTTAAGGATTGAGACAGAACAACTATAAAAAAATTTAACAGGGCAGTAATTAAAAACTAAAAATATCGCAACTTTCCGTTTTAGATAGCACTGACATGGATGGAATTCTTGGTAAGTCGTTCTCTATATTGTTACAGAGAAAAGACGGTTAGCTATATTACGTTGATAACCATACCCATAACAATGCACGTGACAGGTTCCTCTGTTGTGCTGATCACTTTGTCTTCCGCCACGCTAGCATTAAAAGATTCTACTCCCGTGGAGACCGACGTGTCCGTGAGAAAATCGGTGGTGCTAGGCAATTCATTCACTTCGGAAGACATCTCACTCGTCGTCTGAATATTAGAAACGCCACTGTTTTGCAGGGTTGTCGTTTTGGTTGCGGATAGCGTCGTTGATGAAGAATGAGCCACCTCGTGTTGCGGTTTGATTGGGGGAGCTACCGGAATACTCACTGGAATGAGATCATTACAATTTTACATTTACATTAGAAAATTGTAATTTGTATATTGTTGCATTTTTAAGCAATTTGAATATTTTCAAAAAGACTAATTCCAACCTCTTTGTATCTCAAAAGTGTAAAGTTCATAAAACCACACTATCCTATCACCTACTGAAAATAACACATGATGTTCTCATAGCCTCTGACCGTAAACTGACCCTGGTGCTTATTATAGCACACAATTTTATATTAAAAGCTTTGCGGGTCTGTAAGCATAAACCTTACCTTCAGTATAGATGAAGAAGAAGGGAAGGAATTATATTACCTAATGTGTCTTATGTAATTCTCACCACGTGGCCAACAACTATACGTTTCTTTTTCCGACCTTCAATCGATTCATGGTGTGAATGGTACCAAGACAGAAATGTTGGTCATTGGCACTTAGTTCTCAGTTAATAAGTCATAAAGATTTTACGTCCGTTTATAATTGTCCGACTCCTGCATAAATATAATGCAGGTTTCTATATGTGAGAACTCTGTACTATTTTGATTCTATCGGAGCCTGCATATTGTAGTGCAGTTTTTGGCCCGTCCTGCTTCATACTGTTAAATGTAACTTACCAAAGGTACAGGGAACTGTTACAAAACACTCATAGTCTTCATTAAAGATTTGGTAGTTTAATTAGTTAATAAAATTAATAAAACGGAGAGTGTTTAACAAAATCCCCAGTAGTATGAAAGAAGATTCAAAAGTGTTTAGGCTTAAATGGGATTTTCAGGAATCATATTCCATTCTTTTTCAATGTGTAAGGTTAAAAGAGCACAACACGGCGAAATACTCTACATATAAACTCATTCAAAAAAAGCTTTTTTCTACTCCCGTCTGTAAAATACCGAGCCACTTCGGCCATTTCCGGGATTTTACCGCCCGGGTTTGGGAGCAATCGGATGATTTCGGAGATATTTCCCACGCATTAAATTTGACGTTTGTCAATTCTGACGGCCATGTCAGTGAATGTATTCGCGTTGTTTGGCGAAAATGTACCCAGAAACTAACGGTCGTAGAAAAAGTATAGTATGCAACACGTTCGGTAAACTTTTTAACTCACTCGTTTATTAAAAACTCGCTCCCCTCGTGTCAAATAAACTCGTGAGTCAAATGCCGTTTACCGTACTTGTTGCATAATTTACTATTTATTTTCAGGTAACCCAAAATAAATTCATTCAGAAAAGCAATTCTACAAAAAATAAAACAATAAATATTTTGAATTTTATAAAAAAAAAACACAATATGAACATTAACTCAATAAATAATAATAATAATGCCTATACAGTGTTGTTTTCATTTTTAACATTTATTATAAACGTCTAAAAACAGTTCAGCGAAATCACTTTTTAACTTTTTTCCTGGGAACTACAGGAGGGGAAGCTAGTAAAAGACCAAAAAATCTCTATTGTTAGCACATCTAGTTGTTGTCCTGGCTTTGTTTAACCTGTAGGATCTACATAATTTATGATTAACTCTAAAAGTATCCAAAGTATTGTCAATAATTTCTCAGTACAATATTACAGTACAATAATTAACAAAATAATAATAATAAATTTTCGTTTAATACCGTTATTTTCATTTTATGGTCCCTTGGGGTACTTGCTTTATTTTTCTGGTTAGATCTGTTTATAAAGATTCGAAACTTTTTAAGTTAGATATACAGGGTATTTTCTAATTGAATGTTAATAATTAAGATACCGGACCGTCTAAAAAAATATTTGTAATACTACTTTAGATATTTAATTTCTTTATTTCTTTCAATCTGATGCGCAGTGATCTCTGGAATAACAATTTTGGTCAAAAAGATAAAAAATATTGTTTGTTTAAAATAAACTTTAGAATTTTATAAAGTGTACTAGCATAAGACAGTATATGGTGCGGAATGAAACATCATAAAAAATTATACAGAGTTAAGGAAAAGATTGGAAGGATTATTTCTTATTTGTATGTATGAGTATTTTAGGAATGAGATTTAAAACATGTGTGTGACCTAAGAATTTGCGAAAAAGGGTAGGACCATAGAAAATTAACTAAATGGCAATGGGGAGAGCCCCCCCACCCGTTATCAAATAGTATTTGCGACTATGTATTTTATCCTAGCTGAAATGTTAGGGTCGCTTGTATCCATACAATTCTATGATTTGGAACAGAAAAGAAGTTAATTATTTAGTTGATTGTTTTATAGGTTCGCTCTTTTACATAGAATCATACATATAACATATAGATAGAAACAATGGATGAGGGATTTGCGATTGTAACGCCAAAATATTCTTTTATTTGATTTTAATTTTTTACAGTAGAAAATAGGCGACACAAATTAGTTAAATTATAATAAGCAAGTGAAATAATGATAAACAAAAAAAATTTACTTGAACTTATTAACTAAGAAAGATAATTATTAACAATACTATTCCTCTTCGGAATAGGGTGATTCACTTTTTACCAATGATGAACTATCGTCCCTAAGCATATGTAAAGCTTCAGAAAAAAAAATGTTAATTTTTGTTGCGCAAGCTTCTTAACCCAGAGATCAGAAGAGATTAGGAATCTATTTGAAAGATCTTGGTTGGTATCAATTCTGGACCTTTTTCTTGAAAAATGCTCTCTGTAGTGCTTAAGATCTTTGTTATGTGATTACTGCGCTTTTTCTGATAACATCCCTATAGGAAGTATTGCCGCCGAAATTATTGATGCATCATGAATTAAAACTTAATGCACGTTGCATATAGTAAAATGGATATTTGTTTACTAACAAATTAGCTGTTTTTTTCCGCTGCTTCTTGTATTGTGAACAATACCTCATTGACGATGGTCTAGGGTTCTGCCAATAAGTTATTTTTTGAGTCGGTTCGATTTTTGAGTAACCAAATAATCGCAAAGGTACGAGTGAAGTTAAAAAAATGTTTGAATCCCAAGCAATTTCAGTTTTAATAAACTGCTTCTATTCACTGTTACCTGTGTTACCATCACACCCCCATTTTGTGATTAAAATTAAGTCAAGAGGTCCAGATGTATTTTCGAAAACTTCTGATTGATATAAAATAATTCGGAAAACAGTATGGTCCAAAAGCCCTTGTATCTTCATTTTTACAGATAACTCTGTTACCACAATATTATCAGATAATAACATAATTTGTAGATAAACATAAAAGTATTTTCCTTATCTTTTGATGGTTAAATAGTCACTTTTTGATAACTTAGTCCCAATTGTCAAGCTAAGTGCTTCTTCGCTTACGTGGTATAATTTGCTTTGATTTCTGTATATTCCAATTGCTTATTATTTTTGAGGCTCTAGTAGGAGAGGTTTCGAGACTCTCTTTAAGCAGTTTGATTTCATCTCTTTTTCCGTATTTTTCTAAACTTTGTTGCCCCAATTAACTGATTTTCCTCGCAACTTGTTGCTAATTCCTTAATTTTGCTTCTTCTATTTCTTTCACTACTCGAGGAAAATGACTTTTCGGGTCTTCCCAGCAAGTTTGTTGGCGTTTGCATGTTATCCATTTACGGGAATAGAAGAACAGTACTATTTAACCGTTTAGTGTTTTGTTTTAAAAATCTGCTCCTCGTACCATTACTTTTTTTCCACCATTTGGATAGCTGGTCGCAAATTTCATCAATTTTTCTTTGTATAGACTCTTCAAACTTGGGGCTTTTGATATTCATTATATTTAAGATCTCGCGGCATACTTGTAGATTTTTATCTTTATGATAACCCTTTTTATCAATACAGAAATTAAACACATCTATTCTTTTAAGATTCATGTTTTCACTTGCTCACTATGTAACAAAAGAATTTAGTTATCAAATGGAAAATGTTAGATTTTTTTTATTTATTTTTCTTATTAAGCTATCTATTTCTAGTCTCATGAACAGCTTGAATTCCGATTTTATTCAAACAAGGATTTTGCAGTATTCAAAACATCTCTCTTTAATTTGCAACCATCCTGTATATCTAAAAATGCTTAACCCTAGGAAAACTTCACCTAATAGAATTTGGTTTGCATAGTGTCTTCTCAATAAAACAAAAAAAATTCGTTTCTATAAAAGTTTTAGGTATACGCAAAAAAAAATCATAATATTATTTTTATTATTTTTTCTTTTTAATTACAACATAAATCAAAAACATTAAATGTTGTCTGGAGGCGAATGGGGGCAAAAGTTTTTGAAATATTTTTTTTCTACAGACACTACCGTATCTAAAACCGAATAAACTGGAAAAACGGAAAATGACAGAAAGCAATATTTTAATGTTAGAAAGTGTTTCTTTTTTTAAAATAATACATCTTGCGCATGTAAGCAGTAAATTAGCTCTGCGGCCACATACCAACGGACTGAAAAAAATGAAGAGATCAAAATCAGTGGCGTGCCACTGACTGTCTATGAGCAAATAATATTTTGGGAAATTAGGTCGCCACTTCACTGCTCAAATCGAGAATTAGTGTCCTTCAGAAAGAAAAATAACCTAACATCCTAACAAGAACCAACGATTCTTATTTATATTTATTTTATTTCTTTTCGTACTTTTTTGAAAGATTTTAATAAAACAGATATCCAATTATTTAAAAAAGAATGACAATAACTCTCTGCACGCTGTCATATTAACGATATTGTTGTGACCATGCAGAGAAGAGGTTTTTTATTTTTTTACATCGGATTGAAAAAAAAATCAAGAAATTAAATTTCTTTAAAAACGATTGTAGATTTTTATTTTAAGAGAAATCAGTGGCGAAGAAGAAAAATATATTCCTTTTATCAAAATCAGATTGTTCTTACTTTGGATAAACTGACAAGGGAGTTAGAAGATATTTAAATATATGGGGATTTAATGACTTTCAGGAAATCAAAAAGTTTAGAGCCGGTAACTGATGCATGATATACATAGATACAACTTGGATCGATATACATGATCTAGGATCCAAAAGATGGGTTGATTACACTAAAAACTGTCAGACAAGAGCGATTTATTCCAAACTGCTTTACGATCTCGAAGAATATTAAGGACTCTAGTGTGGATTATCCTGAAGATGCAAACGCAAAGCAATTCAACGTCCTAAAACATTCATGGCACTAAGTAAATTTACGTAACCAGGTCATTATTAATATATCTCTTGAGAGCTGGAAAAATGCAAAAGATTCTTATATTTGCATAAAAAATAATATAGATCCCATTGTAATTAATCTTAATGAAATAAATTTGGGATAAAAACTTAGTTATTTAGGTAAATATTGATACTGTGTATACATTTAGTTTTATAGTATCTTCTATAAGTAAAGATAAATATTTTCAGTCAAGCTCTGAAGAAGCCAATATGATGATTTTCGAAACGTCAACAACTTCGACTCAACAACAACCGACGCAGACAATCCAGAAGCTTTGTAAATAGTATTACAGTAGCCTGTTTAAGTTTCTTTGAAAAAGTGAAGATAATAAAATATTTATCCCGTCCGTGCCTGATGCTTTGGCCTACTTGTCAAGTGTGTTATTGCAGACGGCAGGTTATTTCAAATAATATTTTGTATACTTTGAAACAAAGTATGCAAAACATAGATATAAAATTTCAAGACATAATGACTTAGACTTATTTTTTGAATTTAAATTTCGAAAACTTACTGCACGGCGAAAACGGTCCTCTATCTCTGCACGGCCCCTCCATCGTGGGAGGACAATCTTGCCACCAGCAAAACATCTCCCCGTCCAAACAGAGGCAGAATTCGCAGGGGTCCACTCGATAGATCTACGACAAAAGATTGGTTTAATGTATGCGATTTAAATGTTCCCGCAGTGAACATTTTTGATGTTGGTATAGCGACAGAACGTTCTCAACTTTCGTATGATTTTCTTCAACGAGTTTGTTCTACTTTGCCGATTTATTTTTCTATCAAACGAAAGGGACGAAGACGCGAACGACGATCCATTTTCTCAGTTGTCATTTAGATTGTGAGAAACGTTGAGTTTGAAGGGGGGGGGACGCGAGGGGTTCCAAAACCCTAATCAATCTAATCTAATCTAATCAATCTAGTCTAATCAATTTCGCTCTCGTCTTCATTCATTTCACATCATCCGATAAGTTTATTGCGGCTTCTGTGGCAGTTCTGGAGTGCAAGAGTTAAAATTATCAAGCTATACCGGGTGGTTTAGATTTATTTTTTGTTGTGCATCCGCCATCTCCAGTCATGGTATATACTAGTTTGTTTTCTAGGGTTAATTTCCCTTTTAAACTTCATTGTTTCTGGTTGTAGCTTTATTTACTCTTTACAATTAATAAATTAAAGTTTACCAAAAATTATTTTCAAGCTATTGTAAATAAACAAATAATAATCGCAAAATCAGAAGATATTCTATTAGTACGCGATAAAAGAACCAATTTAGAAACTATTAATTTAGATATATAAAAGTTTCCTAAGCCCTATTCGTTAATACCCCTACAGTCTAATATTATGTTCACTAGGTGGATATTCTTCTACTTCTTGTTTTTATTAATAGTTCCAGGACATATTTACTTCAGCGAGTCCTTGCACCTCATATTGGTCCTAGTGGACGTCGTAATGAATCTTTCTTAATGCGTGTTTACTCCACTGAATCACTTTCTGAGCCCTCTTGCTGAATCTTGCACTTATCCCTGATATCTTCATTCTTAGTGCTCTTGTTTTATCTATTGTTGGGATATTTTTTCATAATCGAGGAAAAAATATTAACAAATTAGAACATTTTTTTAACGATATCTTTTTAAAATCAACGGGAAAATAGATGAACATTAAAGTATTGAACAGGCTATGTATAAAAATGTCCACTTGTTTCCTGAATAATGAGTCCATCTTTTTATGATCAACATTTTTTTCTTTCATAGTTATGACAATATGTTTGTCAATTTCTTTTTGTCCCAGTAATCTCATATATGCAAAACACTTTCACAAGAATATCTATTAAAAATTAAATGTTACACCAAACCATGACTGCTGAAGTTATGAACTTGTCGCAACTTTGAAAAGTTTGAAGAACCCGAATAATTTTTACGAATTTCAAAACTTCCCCACTTGAACAAACGTATAACTTAACGAAACATTAAAGTCATTAACTACTTACACACTACTAATCACTTTACACAAGACTAATAATTTATATAATTTCTCTATTTTCATTTTGAACATACTTGAGTCACCCCTGATTTGCACCAACTGCAGCAGACCCTATATTTTATTATATACTTAAATTCGCTGCTTGATTCTGGTTATTTTATCCAAAACGGTCGAATTTTAGTTATTTTTATTCTTCTTTTCCTCCAAATTATGGTACCTTTGATATAGCTATCATTTGAACCCATTTCTGAATGACCATATTAGAATGTAGCGCAAAGTTTTTGTTTAATTATTGAATCAAATATTTGCCAGATCTATGTTTGAATCGTTCGTTGTTATCAGAACATGGCGTCCCGTGGCTAACAATCGAACTAAAATCAATAATTTTAAAAACCCTGTATATGGAGTAAATTTATCCAAGTCAATCCAATATTTCGCAAACTGAAGTCAAAATTTTTGCATTTTATGGCTTCAAATGTAAGTTTTACATGTGTCATATGTGACACAAGTGCTTTTTGTCCCAATAATCGGATATATGCATAACATTTTTCCAGAGAATATCAATTTCACATTTTAAACAGTCGCCATTGGTTAAAAAATTTAATATGAAGTCCTTAAAGTTAATTTGTCCCAGCTTATAGTGTTTTTGCCAAAATACATTCTTGAAATAAAATACAATATGTTTCAAATGCGGTCAAAGTACAAAGCCAAAGTTATCTTACATGAGTTCCGTTAGGTTTTACGTGGAGCGACTTGTTTAATTTCACCATCGCATTTGACAAACCCGACCAATTTCAAAATGTATCTATTGGTGTCAGGTGTGGGGTTTATCAAACACGACTGTTTAATTGAAGAAGAAACATGAGGTGACCATTAAACTAGAATCAAGAATTTAGAATTAATAATTTTAATATGGAAAAAATTAATCTAGGTTAATCTAGTACTCAGATCTTTCGCCGACTTCAGGCAAAATTTCTACATTTTACGACTTTAAAGGGCACCTAATGTAAAGTTTAAGTGGTGTCAAATTTATGCGAAAAAAAAAAAAGAAAAGAAGGAAGCAGTGAATCAAAAAACAAACATAGCATACTATATAAGATACTGATGTTGCTATATTAAAAACCTCGGTGTGCACGGTTATCTTTACAAAACTCTTCAATCATACATTAGTTCTAGGAGTATCGATGACTGTTGCAAGTTTCACGAGGACTTTGATAGGTTTTAGGCTTCTGCTTAGAAAATCGACTGTTTTGAAATAGTAACAAATGTTACTATCTTAAGTTCAGTAAATTAAAAAAACTGAGTTTTGAAATTAATATTGAAAACATAGTGAAACGGGCTTACAGAAACTTGTCCATCTTGATTTCGCCATAAGTATGTAAACAGAATTGAAGGCATTAAAACAAAATATTTTTCTCATGAACTTTAGATATAACCACAATCTAATAGGTGTATCGTATGAAGCAAGCCTTGACTTTTATCGTATGTTGAAATTATCTGTTAGCCGAATAATATATAGTGGCATTTTTTGCAGAATATTTTTGAAAGAGTAGACAATCGAAAACTGTTGCTAAACTATCCTTTAATGCTAGGGTGCTAATGATAAGAACTTCTATGCGCCTAAATATAGTACAAATTTACGAAGCAACTCACCAATATCTCTCGTGAAAAGAAATTATAACAGTTGCTTTTTGCATTAGATATTTTTACTTTGTCACTCAATTCGTTTAGGATTCAAGCAATAAGAGTTTTTCGCTAGGACTAAATTATAGTATATTATGCAACAAGTGCGGTAAACGGCTCACGAGTTTATTTGACACGAGCGGAGCGCAGCGCAGCGCAGAGGAGAGTTGATATCTCCAGATTTCGGTACAATCCATGGATATAGGTTTTGTTAAAAATAATTGGTGGAATAGTATATTATGCATCAAGTGCAGTAAACGGTATTTGACTCACGAGTTTTTAATAAACAAGTGAGTTAAAAAGTTTACCGAACGTGTTGCATACTACACTTTTTCTACGACCGTTAGTTTTTGGGTACATTTTCGCAAAACGACACGAATACATTCACTGACATGACCGTTAGAATTGGCAAACGTCAAAATTCAACTCGTGGGAAATATCTCCGACAATATCCGATTGCTCCAAAATCTGAGCGGTAAAATCCCGGAAATGTCCGAAGTGGGCCGAATTTATGGGAAACGAAACTGACATTGTAAAGTGACACTTCCCGCACGCTAGATCGATGGGTAATTAGGTATTTTACAGACGGGAGTAGAAAACATTTATTTCTACATTATTTCTTGCTTTTCTTTTTTTTGAGGTTAGAAATAGTTTTGATTAATTTTTTGAATTAAGATAAGTGTATTTAGTGTAAGTCTACCTTTGTAAATTGCGACGTTAGTTTTGGTTTGTTAGGGTACCTTGTTATAATAAATAAATAAATAAATTTCGGATCCATAGAGAAGTTAAATGGATTAGGCATCACTTTCAGGTATTTAATAGGAGATTTCCCTTAACACGCATTTTTAGAAACGGGACAATCGTATGAAATAAAAGACGCAAATAATGTTCGATAACGATTTTTTCGCTGATACCGCCGATTTCTGATATCTCGAGGATCGTATAAACGTCAAAGGAAAGCAAAATTCGCAAATATTTTCGACAGGGTCAAATATTTGTTCTAAAAGATTTTTGTGAGCGTGAAGCGAGCTTGTTTTTAGTTTTCTCGGTTTAACCATACCGACTTTATGGGATCGTAAACGTGTGACGTGTCGACGTTGGATGAAATTCTTTTTAAGTGACGTTTGTTCGTTTCGTATATATTAAGATTTCTAATGTGAAATATGCCACGTTAAATGCGAATAGCGGGAATTATTTGTGATAGGTTGTCGCAAAACCAAAACTTTTTATTTATTTTTAAACAAGAATTACCCTTGAAATATGCTTTGTTCGAATTTGACCGCTCATTTGAAATTCATCATTAAACAAGGTGTTAATGTTATCATATCATGATGTAATGTTAATGATGTTAGTAAATAGTATATTATGCAACAAGTGTGATAAAAGGCATTTGAGTCACGAGTTTATTTGGCACTATTAATTAATAAATAGTTATTAATTTTTAATTATTAATTAATAAACTTTGAAATTTTACCAGTGAATATATTCGTGTTGTATGCACCACGTTCAGTAAACTTTTTAAGTCACTCGTTTATTCAAACTCGCTCCGCGTCAAATGCCGTTTTTCTACTCCCGTCTATAAAATACCTAATTACACACCCATCTAGCGTGTTGGAAGCGTCACTTTACCACGTAAGTTTAGTTTCCCACAAATCCAAAACACTTCGGACATTACACTGATTTTACCGCATGTATTTGGGAGCAATCGGACGTTTTCAGAGATATTTCCCACGCTTTGAATTTTGACGTTTGTCAATTCTGACGGTCATGTCAGTGAATGTATTTGTTTTTTTGCGAAAATGAACTCAAAGACTAAGAGTCTTAGAAAAAGTATAGTGTGCAACACGTTCGGTAAACTTTTGAAGTCACTCGTTTATTAAACACTCGCTCCGCTCGTATCAAATAAACTCGTGAGTCAAATGCTGTTTACCGCACTTGTTGCATAGAATATTATTTCATTTCTTTACTTTACTTA